GCTTGAAAGCAGAATGGCTTTATAGTCAAGGAAAGGGAAGATCATTCCGACCAGGCCAGCACCTTCAGTTAGTACAATATTTGGCCAGTGTTTGTCCTCTTACTACTATGTTTGGACTCCAAACAGCAGAGGATGCCAAACTGGAAAAAATACTACATAAGCAAAGGTGTGAATATCATCGTTTGTGAACCATTGTTATATAATTTAATATAATCATTTTAACTTGTTCAGGCAGGCCTTGATTTATAAGATCTTTTTAAGCTGCTTTTTAATGTCAGACAAGTTAATTTGCATTATATATGTATGTGTGTGTTTGTGTGTATTTTGCTAACTCTTGCTAACATTTGTGATATTAAAAAGCAGTGGTTCTCTGACTCTAGTATTCTTAAGTAATAAAATAAAATCATTCAAATATTTGTATTTAGGTTGCATCAAAGACAATTGCTGTATCAGAGCCATGCTAATGAGTCACCTGTATCCTCAACTCTGAATAAAGGGCTACCCATTACTAATGAGCCGAACAGTCCTGCCCATGTACAACAAGAAATGGCTGAAAGTGGTAAGAATGTATATCCAGTGTGTTTTATCACTCGGCCAGTGGTGACCCACTTGCTCCATAGGCTTGTAATCAATGATTGGTACACATATATAGGTTATAATCATAGTGTGCCTTGATGCTAGATTACTGTACTGCATCATTCAAATTCTTCCTATTGTGATATATTTAACAAACTATGATTCAACTGTGACATACTATTATGGACAAAATAGGATAATATAACTGTGGAATTCAAAATGAGGAATGAAAGGAAAAAGTTGTAACCAAAAAGGATTAGGAATAATGAAAAAAAATATATTAAAATGGAGTTTAGTACTGAATGGAAATTGATTATGCAGACTGTAAATCCATACAGCAAATTGATTTGTAATAGCGAAAGTGCACAGGGCAGTCAAAGATGCATTTCCGAAAGAGGCTTACATTTCTGCTTCAATAATCTTCTATGGGCGGGGGGCGGGGCCAGCTGCCAGGAAGAACGGGTGTGTTGGATGATTCTCTGAAGCATCTAACCCCGTTCCCGACTGTTTGACAGATCCTTTGTGATCCCTAGTTCCCTGGAGGGGGACTGGGAACAACAAGGCGCCCTGGGGAGTGGATTCAGGCGGCAGCCAGGAGCCACGAACCCAGGAGAAGCTTTGACAAGTCAAGCGGAGAAGGGGAAACGGCCGACAATGGCGGCAGTGAAGAAATGACAGCAGTCAGCTGGCCGAAGCTTAGCGGTGGAAAAGCTGGACGGTGACATGACAGTTCCAGTCAAATTCATCTGAGCAGAGATTCTGGCTAGAAGGGATCCGGTGTGAGATCGTACTGGAGGATTTCACTTGAAACTTACCGACTTTAGTAGCCTACAAGAGGGGAGGAGGGATTTCCCTCACTCCTGGAAAAGCGGCGAAAAGGAAGGTTTGGCTAAAAAGGCTTGCCTGCTTACTTGCTACGTTGGCTGGATTTGTAGAGAAGAGAAAGGGGGCGTCCTCCTTCTTCCCTTACTCCAGAGACTGAAATTTAGCCCTGGAAGGCTAGCTACTCTAAGGCACAAGAGAGATCGTCTGGAAGGAAAAAAACGGAGGTAGACATTTTGGAATGAATAGACAAGTTTAATACCAGAGACAATATTAGAGTGACACCTGCTGGTTAAATCAAGAATTGCTGTAAGAGTGGGAAGGGAAAAACTACTAGGGAAAGAGACTGTGTAGCAAATTTGCCCTTTCCTTGTAATGTTAAGAACTTCTTGATTCTTAGTAACAACTTTGATACTCTGGAAAACATTTTAACAATTGTAAATAAGTGGGGAGGTTGGTTTGGAAAATTGAAAAAAATGTCTAGCACTCCAAATCTTACAAGGGCTGGAATAGGGAGAAAGCAGACACTTCAAACTACATTGCTGGAACCAGGTTCTGTTAGGCAAAGATCACTAGAAGAAATGGCTCAAAAAGATAGGGCAAACCCACTTAAAGACTTGCAACAAATGCTGCAATCAATGCAAGAGTTAATGTGTAAAAACCATGAAGATCTGAAAAAAGAAATAGGTGAAATAAGGAATGATACAGGTGAACTTAAAGATAAAATTAAATCTATGGATGGGAAATTTGAATCCTTCCACCACCAACTTATGAAAAATGAACAAAAACTAGTAGAAATGGAGGAAAGGATTGATAAAGAAGAGCAGAGAGTGGATGAAATGAATGAAAGGCTAGTTCAAGCCAATAAAGAATTAGAAACCACAGTTATTTCTTTGGAACTTGAGAAGGCTGCACATTATCTACGGTTTCAAAATGTAGGAGAGATGAAAGGTGAAGATCTCCCAGTAATAATGTCAGATATTCTAGCAGGAGCGTTGGGGTCTACAAGAGAGGAGATGGCCAATGAGATAGATGAAACCTATAGAATACACACAAATTACGCAAGACGACACAATCTTCCCAGAGAAGTGCACATTAGGTTTATTAAGAAATCAGTTAGGGATGAAATTCTTTTCAGATTCAGAGATGATACACTGGAATATCGAGGTAAACAGCTGATTGTACTTAAACAAGTGCCCAAAAGAGTGAGAGACCTGCGAAGGCCTTACCAATACATAACTTCCAAACTGATAAGGAAAAATATCAATTTTAGATGGCTAACTCCGGAAGGAATTCTGGTAACATGGCAGGAGAAAAAGTTTCGCCTAGACTCAATAGAAAAAGCAGAGGAATTCTACAGGGAAAACTTTGGTAGTAAGGAAGATTTAGTTGAAAGAGAAGCAAGAGAGGAAGGAGAGACACTGGTGCAAGCCATTGAAGCTAGAGGTAAAAGAGTTGAGCTTCGAGAGGACACTGATGAAGGGAAAAATGAAGAAAAGCAGGAGGAGAGTAGGTTTAAGGAAATTAAAGAGGCTAGACTGATAAGATCAACAGTGGAAAAAGGGAAGGATTTACAAACTCAAGAGTCTAGACCAGCAATAGTAACTAGATCTAAACATAGATAAGGAGGGGAAGAAATGTGTTGAATCTATATCTATCAACGTTAATGGCCTCAACTCTCCAACAAAAAGGAAGAAGTTTTTCAATAGGCTCAATAAGATGAATTTAGATATAATAATGTTACAAGAAGTCCACATTAAAAAACAACATCAATACTTATTAAATTGTCCCAAATTGGGGAATATGTTCGCAGCACTTTCGCAATATAAGAAAGGAGGTGTGGTAGTATATATTAAACAAGAAATTGTGGCTAAGCAAATTTATAAGGACGAAGATGGCAGAATTCTAATTGTGGAAGTAATTTTGAATAAAACCAAAATTCTTTTGGTTGGAATTTATGCCCCGAATGAGGGGCAAAAACATTTCTATAAAAAACTCTACAACATTATTAGCCAATTGGAACATGATAGCATTTGTATAATGGGTGACTATAATGCAATTGTGGATAATAATCTAGATTATAAATGTGGAAAGAATAGAAAAAGAATTAGAGGAACAATATCTGATATTTTCTTTAAAATGGTAGATGAGTTTAATATACAGGATATTTGGAGAGAAAGGAATCCTGGGAAAAAACAGTTTACTTTTTATTCTGGACGTCATCAATCTTGGTCCAGAATTGATATGGTGTGGATGTCAGCTGACTTAAATTTAGAAGTAGAGGAGATTATGATTGATACAAATACCTGGGCTGATCACAATCCGATTAGAATTAAATGGAAGGGGCAAAAAAACACGAGGAGATGGACTCTAAAAAGGGCAATCTTAAATCATAAAGAATTCAAATCAAAATTAGAAGAACAATTGGATCTGTTTTTTAAGTCAAACAAAAAGGAGGATACAAACTGCCAAAATTTATGGGATACAACCAAAGCCTACATGAGAGGCGTTGTAATTTCTTATATGGCTAGGCAACACAAAATCAAAACACAACGCCAAAGACAACTGGAAGAAGAACTACGTAAAGTTGAGGATAACCTGCAAAATGAACCACAAAGATGTGATTTGAAACAACAGATTGATTTAATTAAACATAAGATGGATATTATTACGAAGGAAGATCTAGGACAGCAGATAAAACGTACTAAACAAAATTTCTTTGAAAATGCTAATAAACCAGGGAGATGGTTGGCTTATAAAATCAAAAAACACAATAATAAGCAGAGAGTTACCAACCTTTATAACGCCAAAGGTGATATGGTGTGCCAGAACGAAGGAAAAAAGCTAGTGGCATATGAGTTTTACAAGAATTTATATAAGGACGACGAAAAGAGAAATAACCATGACATAGTACAGTATTTACAACTAGTCGATTTACCCAAGGTGCCAGAAGAATTTAAAACTCTCCTAAATAAAGAGATAACACATTTAGAGCTCTCGGTTGCAATTAAGAAACAGAAAAATAATAAAACACCTGGACCAGATGGTATACCTGCAGAAATGTATAAAATTGCACAAGAATCTTTAAGCCCAATGCTGTTGGACTTATTTAACGAGGTTTTAACCCAAGCTAAAATACCAGCTTCATGGGAAGAAGCCTTCCTCACGTTGATTCCTAAAGAAAACACCAACCTGACACAAATTAAGAACTATAGACCCATTTCTCTTTTGAATTCAGATTACAAAATCTTCATGGCAATAATGGCACAAAGATTGGAAAGGTTCTTAGTGGATTTTATACATATTGATCAAAACGGCTTTCTATCTAAAAGATATATAAGAAACAATATTAGGACTGTTTTGGACATATTGGAATATTATGAAGTACATAATGAAAAGCAAATGTGTTTAATTTTTCTTGATGCCCAAAAAGCATTCGACAATGTAAAATGGGATTTTATGTTTAATCAATTATTGTATATGGACTTTGGGGAAAATTTCTTAAATATGTTTAAATCAGTTTACTCTAAGCAGGTGGCCAAAGTAATAATCAATGGAGAACTGACTGAGAGTTTCCAAATGCAAAAAGGCACAAGGCAAGGCTGCCCACTATCACCATTGTTATTTATATTATCTCTCGAGGTATTAACTAGAGCAATCCGGCAAGATGAACAGATCCAAGGTCTAGAAATCAAGAAAGAGACATTTAAAATACAAGCCTTTGCAGATGATTTAGTTTTTATTATTGAAGAACCACTACAATCAGGGATTAGGCTGATGGAAACATTGAATAGATACGGGGAAATAGCAGGTTTAAAAATAAATAAAGAAAAAACTAAAATGCTTGTCAAAAATATGACTAAAATACAGAAAAGTGAATTGGTTGATAGAATTGGTGTTCAAATTACAAATAAAATTAGACATTTAGGGATACAACTGACTGCCAAATGCGCTACGCTTAAAAGGGATAACTATGATAAGTTAATAGAACAGATTCAAAAAGACTTTGATATTTGGACTAACCTACAGCTCTCTCTTACGGGCAGAATCGCGGTGATTAAAATGAATGTGTTGCCAAAAATTTTATTTTTGTTCCAATGTATACCTATAAAATTAGACAAGAAATTTTTTCAAAATTTGAACAAAATGATGTGTAAATTCATCTGGCAAGGAAAAAGAGCAAGGATTAAATTAAAATTACTACAGGACTCAAAGGAAAGGGGGGGATTTGGTCTTCCAGACTTGGAGAAATATTACCAGGCCGCAGCATTAGTATGGGTAAGAGATTGGATATTACTAAAAAATAGGAGACTATTGTGTCTGGAGGGCCATGACCTACAAATAGGATGGCATGCCATATTATGGGATCATAAATATAAAGTACATAAATATTTTCGAAGTCACTATATTAGGCAAGCTCTTATTGATGTATGGACAAAAATTTGGCAACCAAATTATACCCAAGTACCTAGTTGGATCTCACCGTTAGAAATATATGTACACCCAAAATTTACTCAATTAGACAAGATCATAACATATAAAAATATTTTAGATGAAAGAGGGGAATTGAAATCCAGGAAAACCATCCACGATGAAGGGATAGAATTAGAATGGTGGGCATACCTGCAACTGCAGGCAAGATATCGGAAAGACAAAAAAGAGTTAGGTATTAAATTAGAACCAATAGAATTGGATAAAATAATTTTGGGGTCGGAGGATAAAATGATTAAAAAACTATACTATTATTTGCTAGATCAGGCAACGTACGAGGAACAAGTAAAAGTGACTATGTTGAATTGGAGTAAGGATTTTGGTCTTAATTTTGATCTGCATATATGGCAAGAACTATGGGCAAGAAACAAGAAGCTTACTTTGGCCACCTCTTACAAAGAGAACCTTTACAAAATGTTTTATAGATGGCATCTCCCACCCACAAGATTGTCTAAAATGTATACCAATGTCTCCCCTAAATGTTGGAAATGCAATTTGAAAAGTGGAACTTACTATCATATGTGGTGGGAATGCACGCGAGCTCGTGATTTTTGGAACAGGATTAAAATTTGGTTGGAAGAAATATTAGAGCAAGCGGTAGAACCAAAACCAGAACTCTTTCTATTAGGTTTAACTACGCAAAAACATGACAAAGGCGTATTTTATTTAATGCTACACATTTTAACGGCCTCCAGGCTGGTTTTTGCTCAAAATTGGAGGAACAAGGAAACCCCAACGGAAGAAGAGATCCTGCATAAAATTTTAATATGTGCTGAGATGGACAGGCTTACAATGATTATGAAAGACAAAACGGAACACGAATACTTCGAAATCTGGGGCAAATTTTACCGCTGGTATGAATTAAGAACTGCTCGGACTTCAAACTAATGGTAGAACTAAAAGATATACATAACTGTACATATAATTGTATATATAATTGTATTGTATAAAAGATGAGGTTTATATAGAGGTTAAGAACAAAAAATTATAAAATTATAAAATTTTTGTACTATGATAGGAACTGATAGAAAAATTCACTCTGGAATGTCATGTTTGTCCATTGTTGTTTTAATTGTATTAATGAATAAAAATTAAAAAAATAAAAAAAAATAATAATAAAAAAAAAATAATCTTCTATGGGTATAGACATTACCAAAGAAATGGTTGTTCAAATTAAGACATATAGTGCATATTTGACTACTTTATAATATGGAATAGGCTAAGATTATTAGGTGAAAACTTGAAGATATTCAAGATAAAAAGTAATTTTTTATCTACTAGATTCTTAACTACACTGTTATAGCTGGCTATCGAGCATACTTCTAATGATTTCAGCCATTTAATAATTATTGCTTACCTAAATCCACCTTGTATTCTGTCTATTGGTCATGGTAGAGCCTGGTCGAATGATGGAATCTATATAGCAGTGATGGCGAACCTTTTAGAGACCAAGTGCCCAAACTGCAATCCAAAAACCCACTTATGTATCATCGGTTGCCAGGTGGGCATGGTCCATTGGGTGGGTGTGGCCCATTGGGTGGGCGTGGCTGTGGTGGTAACGGCAGACTGGGTGGGACTAAAAAGTTCAATCAATCAATTCCAACTTTGCGAGATCTTTTTTTTCCCGTGAGAAGTTGAAATTGATTGATTGAACCTTTTTTTTTTTGCACATAGTGGCGGAGGCCTAAAGCGAAATGGTTTTATAAAACCCAGCTGAAGGCCTAGGGGCGATGGTGTGTGTGCCCACAGAGAGGGCTTTGCGTGCCACCTATGGCACGCATGCCATAGGTTCGCCACCACAGCTATATAGCATACTCCATTGCTACATTGACAGGAGAGGACAATCAGTTCTGAACTCTTTCCTTCTCTTGTTGCTGTTTAGCCGAATGCATATTATTTCTATGGACCAGAGGAATCTCAAAAATGTATTCCCTAATCCCTAATTAGTCAAGAGACAGATATAAATAGTAAACATTTGGCAAAAATACATATGTAGATTTGTGATAGTGGTGAATATCTGTGGCTCGAATATAGAATGAGGGTGGAGGTTGGTTCTCCAAGCTTGTGGGTTGGTTTCTGAACATTTTGTTACCAGGGTAGGTAACATCTTCAGCAGAATTTAAGGAATGTCAGCATTCTTTTGCTTATAAGGTCTTTGTGTGATGGTGAGGTAACCTCAAGTCAGGATCACTTCAGGTCAGGGTCTTTGGATGGGTCTTGTGATGGGTCAGGTGTGGGTGTGACAAGTGAGGATCTTGTGGGTCTTGTGATGGGTCAAATGTGTGTCATTAGTGACAGTCTTGTGATGGGGAGGTCACGTCACATGAGGATCATTGGGAGGTGAAGTGCACAGGTCTCCAGCTGTTTGTTGTCTAGTATCCTTATGTTGATGTCAAGGAATGGGAGTCTTTTGTCTGTTTTCTCTTCACATGTGTGGGAGATGAAAATATAGCCTCCTCATATAACATGATGAGGCTGGAGCAAACCTGAGATAGGCCCCACAATAGTGATTTAAAGCTTTAATTGAACTTTATATTATTTCACAATATGGATTTATTATTTGTAATCTGCTGAATTGTGCAATATCAAATTGCAAAGTAGGTAGTTCTATGTATATTTGGAACATGAGTATTGTAACCGTGGAAGAGGAACTGAAAGTAACAGATGGATAGAGGTTTCAAATGTACACAGATATATATGGAAACTGCTGGTCAGCACAAAAGAACAAGGAGTAATGTAAGTAATGCTATGTTCCAAATTACTAGAAAAATAAACCTTTGAATCTTAAAGTAAGAATTATTGTTTTTGTGTTGCTGTCTCTTGTCTTTTTTTATTGGGTTTTTCCACAACACATGTGAATTTGATTCTGGGGAATATATTATTGAGTAGGTGGTATATTACTTCAATTTGGAAGTGTTTGATGATAACAAAGGTGTCATTGACATAGCATGTTCAGAATTTTGGTTGGATGAGGGTAGAGCTATAGATTGGTCTTGTTAATGACTCAAATCCATAGCTCTACCTACCTGACGTGACTTACCCATCACAAGACCCATCATAAGACTCTCACTGGTGACCCACACCTGATCCATCACAAGACCCATAAGACCCTCACTTGACACACCCACACCTGATTCATCACAAGACCCTAACCTGAGGTTATTCTCACCTGACATGATGTCACCATCACAAGATCTACTGACCACACAAAGCCCTTAGAACACTGACATCCCCTAAATTCTGCTGAAGATATTATCTAGCCTGGTAATGAAATGTCGGAAACCAAGCCACAAGTTCAGAGAATGAACCTCCACCCTCAACATACGTAGATACATAAATATTGAAAGTCTATATGTTTTATCTTACTCTCTTTTCCAGAACGTATTATTAAAAAGAATACCTGGGTTGTGACAAAATCCAATGATGACCATTCTTATGCAATTAAAAATATTTCTCCAACTTCGGTACCAGCTGAAAAAAATATTTCTAAGGATTTTTACTTGGATGATATGCAAACTGACGAGGACAAGTTGAACAGTAGTCTCCTATCTTCAGAATCCACTTTTATGCCTGTTGCTTCAGTGCTCTCTCCAATGTCTCCCACTTCAGCAGAACTGAAACTTCATGGAATTGGCATCGATGTAGAGGATGTTGAAGATCTGGGGGATGCTGATTTGGAATTTACAAAAGATCTTAATATGCAAAACAAACAAAAGCAGAAAAATGCTTCTGTGGTTTTGGAAAAGTATACTCACAAGTCAGAAGACCTGGTAAAAACTCAAAATGAAGATCAAGAGGAGGATATTTTCCCCATTGCTTCTTCTTTAGTGAGCACTGATATTCAACTTGATGATATTAGCAGTTATCAAGCATCCCCTGAAGACAATGTAAAGTTCAGTAACTTAAAGCAGTCATCCTCACCAGAAGAGAATGTTATCAAATATGTTTCCGATGCTAATTCTCTAGAACTGTCCACCAATGCATCAGTTACTGTAACCCAGAAGAAAGATGAACTTGTAGAAATGAATAAAGCTGCCACCAAACTTCAGGCCTGTTGGAGGGGATTTTATACAAGAACATTCCAATCCAGAGTCAGGGAAGCACGCTATGAAATTCGACTTAACAGAATGCAAGAACATATTGTTCATTTAACTGAAGAAGTTGAAAAGTAAGTAGGAAGTCAAGTAAACTGAAATAATAGGATAGAAATAATTTATAGTTGGGGTAGTAGTTTCATTTTCTTCAATTGGTAAGCTCCTCTTTGTTCTCCAGACGAAGGCAAATTTCACCATCTTTATAAAATGAAGTATTCTTTCAAAAATATTCATTTGTTAGCATAATCAAGGGAGAAAAAATTATTTCAGTGTCTCTAGCAAACAGAAATTAAGTTGCATTGTTATTCAACTGATGAAGTTGACAAATTTAATCAATAAACTGATGTAAATACATTTCCTCCCCCCAAACTCCATTCTTCGCTAGAATCTATTCTTACTGCAATACAGGTAGTCCTCGACTTAACAATCACTTGGTTAATGACCATTTGAAATTACAACAGCATTAAATAAAAGTGTCATGATCATTTTTCACACTTATGACTGTTGCAGCATCCCCATGGTCACATGATCAAAATTGACACTTGGCAACTGCCATGTATTTATGATGGTTGCAGTGTCCTGGAGTTATGTGACTACCTTGTACCACTTTCTGATAAAAAAAGTCATTGGCGGAGCCAGATTCACTTAACAATCATTTACTAATTTTACAACTTCAGTAATTCAGTTAACCGTGGCAAGAAAAGTGGTAAAATGGGATAAAACTCACTTAACAATTGTCTTGCCTAGCAACAGAAATTTGCAGTTCAATTATGGTGGTAAGTCAAGAAATACCTATAAATAATTGTATTGCAGCAAAGGTGGTGATCAAAGTAGTAACACTTTTATAGCTTTATATATATTTATATATGTAAATCATTTGCAGGTTAAGAAAAGAAAAAAATGAAGAGATGCTTCAAAGACTTGTGCAAGAGGAAGCTGTCAAATTTCTTTGGGATCAGGTAAAGTTAGTTTTCCTAAGTATTCATTTCTATGAATAAAGACTAAGACATTCTTCTGAAACCTTGCTGTGTTGACATTTGTTTGAATATTGTTGTTAGTTGCAAAGTCATGCCCGACCCATCGCGGCCCCATGGATAATGTTCCTCCAGGCCAGCGGTTCTCAACCTTTGGGTTGCGACCCCATTTGGGTCGAACGACCATTTTACGGGGGTCGCCAAACAACGCGATCCGCCATTTTTTCCCCTCAGGGCGGCGCCGCGCATGGGTGGCGCGTCCTTATGACCGGGATCGCCGTATAAAAAGGCTGAGAACCACTGCTCCAGGCCTTCCTGTCCTCTACCATCTTCTGGAGTCCATTTAAGCTCACGCCTACTGCTTCAGTGATTCCATCCAGCTACCTCATTCTCTGTCGTCCCCTTCTTTATTGCCCTTAATCTTTCCCAGCATTAGGCTCTTCTCCAGTGAGTCCTTTCTTCTTGTTAGGTGGGCAAAGTACTTGAGTTTTAACTTCAGGATCTGGCCTTCTAAAGAACAGTCAGGTTGATCTTATCTAGGACTGACCGGTTTGATCACCTTGCAATCCAGGGGACTCGCAGGAGTCTTCTCCAGCACCATAGTTTAAAGGCCTCAATTCTTTTGCACTCAGCCTTTCTTATGGTCCAACTTTCACAGCCATACATTGCAACTGGGGAAACCATAGCTTTGACTACACGTACTTTGTTGGCAGGGTGATGTCTCTGCTTTTTAGGTTTGAATATTAGTAGCTTGGATTGATAGTTGGGCTGTTGGTTTGATCTCTGAGCTTGGTGATTTGGCTGCAAACGTTTTATTTTCATTTGGGGGGACATCTTCAGTGTGCTTTGAATTGTGCTCATCATGGATGCAGAAGTCATTATGCAGAAAATCAAATAAGTTGTACTTCCACAAATAAACCCCAAGCTATAGGTATATTACGTGGATGACACCTTTGTGATAATCAAGTGCAACCAGGTCAATCAAACCTACCAAAGAATCAACAATGTCTTCACAGACATCTGATTTACAATAGAAACCGAGATTAAAAACAAACTGCCATTCCTAGACGTTCTTGAAACCAGAACCACCAATGGCCAACTTATAACATCCGTGTACAGGGAAGACAACACATAACAGATCAAATCCTCAACTTCCACAGCAACCACCCCAAATGCCACGAACAAACTGCATCAGAACACTGTTGGGAGAGCGAAATCCCATTGCAGCACCATGGAAGCCAGATCAGCAGAACAAAAACACTTATACAACGTTTTTGAGAGAAATGGATATCCACAAAATTTCATCCAGAGATGACTACACCCAAAGCAACACAACACCCAAAGCAACACAACAACTACAACAGGAACAACAACGACAGATGAATCACTATTCCCTATGTACAGAATGTTTCAGAGATGACAGCAAGACTATTACTCCAACATGACCTCGCAGTAGCCCACAAACCAGCCTCCACTGTCAAAACCTAAGGAGCAGACAGAAACAAACCAAAGATCAAGCATCATATACCAAATGCAGTGCAGCAACTGTGAAAAGAACTATGTGGGCCAAACAGGAAGAAAGCTATGTACCAGACTGCACAAACACTTCCTGGCTATCAAAAGACACTACCCACTATCTCTCATGTCCGCCCACGAAGACTCAAGGACACAAGTTTGATCTAACTGGGACCACAGTTATAACCCAAGTAAAATCAAGGGGAGAAAGAGAATTCCTCGAAGCCTGTTTCTCCACCAATAAATCAATAAACAAGACACACTGACATTGACCCAATCTACCAACCACTAAGAATGAAAGAACTACTTCAATCCCAAAGGAAGCATTTAAAACAAACAAACAGGCACTCTACCACACAGCAACAAAAATCACAATTCCCGCACAAGAAACCAGACCATGTCTCAACAACAGCCAGCCAGCCAAACAACCTGAAACCAGACCATAACTCAGAGGCAACCAACTGAACAAACACCATTTGCATCATACAGACGATACTTAAACACCAAAAGCTATGGCCCAGCAACAACCAGCCAATCAAACAGTCTGAAACCAGATTATGGCTCAGAAACATCCAGACAAATAATACCCACACCAATTTATATCACGCAAAAAGATATTTAAAGGCCAGTGCTCTGACAGACTTATATCACACAAAAAGGTATTTAAAGGCCAGTGCTCTGACAGACGAGCACAATTCAAAGCGCACTGAAGATGTCCCCCCAAATGGAGACGAAATGTTTGCAGCCAAATCGCCAAGCTCAGAGATCAAACCAACAGCCCAACCTTGCTGTATTTTACAGTTGACCCAATTACCTTTCTCATATGAAATGAGATAATTATGCGATTACGTATGAAATTATATATTATAATCTTTTATTTTTGTGGTTTATATAGGTTAAATCTATCCAGGAATGGCAGCTTTCAGTAAACCAACACCTAACTAATATCTGGAAAAAAGCTACTCCTGCATTTGGCATTCTGGGTCCACATGAATTATTCATACAGTCATCTAAACCAAATCAAGAACCTTCTCCTATTGATAGTTCAACTTGGTTAGGTTCATCTTCTGAAATGTGTCATCAGAAATGTTTACAGGCATATCCTGATTCAGGTTTCCATTCATGTGTATCAGACCAAAATACCTTTAATGAGTTGCAGAACTCTGAAAAACATTTGACAGAAACAAATGAAGGCTTTCTAGGAAATTCTCTGCAAACAGTCAAGCCCTGTGAAGATTCTCTTTCAGGAAGCCTTTCTGATGCTGAGATCCCAGTTGACCACAAGGACTATTGTAAAGAGAGTTTGAACAACGATCAGAACAATACTCTTCTCAAAGAATATTTAAAAACTGTTGAAGAACTAGATGATTCTGATGAAAAGATAAATTGCAGCAATAGAACAGAAAGTTGTAAGACTCATACAGCTTTTTCATCAGAAGAAAAGGATATTTTATGCAGTGCTGTTTTAGTCTCTCAGGATGTGCTTCCATTAGCAGAAGAAGAAATGGATGCATTCGATCTAAATGATAAAATGGCAGAAAAAAATACAAACTGTGATTCTTCATTGCAGACCCTTTCTGTTAGGCTATCTGTATAGCAAGTATAAATCTACAGAAAAAAATGTAAAAGCCATGTTAACATTTTATGTTGGACCAATTTCTATGCATTTTGGAGACTCTGGGTCCCTTTGCTTTTAAAAATGGTTTGTTAACAGCTTTGTTAATCATCTAACGTTAGACTTACACTCTATTAATTTATGTATATCAAAATAGGTTCAAAGAGACATTGTAAATTACATTTCATGTGGTTTGATTGTAACAGATTTTTTATGAAATATAATTTTGAAAACTCTTTAAGTTCTTTCTATATTGCTGTTATCATAGCTGAAGTAGTTGTTTTTTCCAAGGAAACAAAGCATGCATCCTTGTAATATTCAAAGAAAGAAATATAAATATTTAATTTGACAAATAAGGGTAGTATACAAAACTTTATATTTGAAGGCACAACCCCTTAAAGCAGATTTCAGGTTAAGGCATTGAGGACAAATGTTAGTTTTGCATCCCTACATGATCTGAAATATTTTTGCCTTCCAATCTGAAATGCTATTAGTCCCAATGCTCACATAACATACAGTTAATAATATAAGCAAGATAGTGATTGTCTGAAAATATGTGCTGATACATAGGTACTAAGTTGTAAGCTTGGAAATTCTGGAAATCTTGCTCCATGTACAAATCATTTTGTTTAACAGTACAAGACAATTTTCTCACCAATACTCCAAACACTTTTTCTACAAATGTGACTGTTGAATTCAACACAGCCTAGTCCAGGGGTAGGCAACCTTGGCTCTTTTATGACTCATGGACTTCAACTCCCAGAATTCCTGAATCAGCATAGAATTCTGGGAGTTGAAGTCCATGAGTCATAAAAGAGCCCAGGTTGCCTACCCCTGGCCTAATCCAACCTGTTATCACAGAGGACTATTTTTATGAAGTCATTTTTCTTTGTTTAATTTGTTGGGACAGTGGGAAATTTTTTTAAAAAATGCAACAAAACCAGTCTGAAGAGGAGGGAGAAGAATCAACCTTTCACACTATGTTCTCATAATGATAAGAATAATTTGCCTATTTTGCCAAGGTCAGAATATGTATAAAAACAGTACATACTCAATTTTATATTGTACCTAAGTAACAAAAATGAGAGGGTTTTCTTAAATAATAGATCAGCATTATATGGCCATGGCTGCTAAAACTATACAGAATAATTGTTTAATAACATTACCTGCTTGATAGATTGCTGAGACATAGAAGCAAGTGGTCATGTTTTCTAGATGCTTACGGAGGAATGGCTGCTAAACATATTGCCCTACTTTAATATAAATTAACAATATTCTGGCATTCATGGAGAATGCCTACATTCTACCGCTTCACCATATAATGATAAAGAAAACAATTCTTCTTTACAGACTCCACTGTTTCTATCAATAAATGTTTTGTATGTTTTCTTTACTAATAATTAATAGTTATTGTCAATAATAAATATTTTTCTATTCATAAATTCCAGAATATTTAAAAGTTGTAACTTTTCTCCCAGTATTACTTAAGTATATAGTCGAGTATATATTGTTCTTGGCTTAATGAGTCATTTGCAAATATTGCATTGAGAAATTATTTTGCCAAATACAGGAATAGGTTTGTTGTGTCAAATTTAACTTCAGCTTGGTGCTGTTTTGGAATTCAAGAGTTTATGTTTCCAATCTTTAATTAGAAAACAAAAGTAGAAAAAAATGTTTTAACTGAAGCATTGCTTAAGAGATCTTGAATTTTATCACAACTATATATTTCGGTCATTCATATTCCATTTCTTTAAAAATCCATTGTAAAGTGTTATAGAATGCATGTACTGTATGTATACAATATATACATGCTCAATATGTACATGTTCTAGTATATATTGGTCATAGTGCTATAAAATTAATGTCTGTGCTAAAGCAGCATAAAACCAATGCACTGTTTAAATTTGTTATAGAGACAAGTAGTTAAAAGTTTATTCTTTTTGTAGGGAGAAATCTAAAAATACAATTTTTAAAGTATTACAGATATATTCTTTAGAAAATACTATTTTAGAAAATACTAATTAAACGCGTACTTAAATATACTTATTTCATCTCTTGTTTCTGTTGAACTTCATATCTGTCTTTATAAAACTCAGTATTTGTATTAGTTATAAACAGTATGTTCGTGTACACTTACATTGTAGCTGGCTTAGTATTTGTCTTTCATATAGAAATGGCTAGGGCTCCATAGTTGGAGTTTTGGAGGGTGCAAAAAAATGGTTCAATTAAGCAAAATTATTAATTTTGTGTTGTAATACAGGATATTTTTTTTTCTGTTGTGAGTAAAAAATTGTGAAGTTAAGAGGAATGCATTGTGATTGTGAGGAAATTGCTTCCTGTGTTTTGATGTAGGTATTGATACTTAGGTATATATTGCTGCAATACATTTTTAAAAAATAATGAAAAAACCTACATCTTTTGCAAGTTCATGAGTCCAATTTTCAAAGAAGCTTCCAAATGATCATATTGTGTTTATTTATAACAGTGGAGCTTCAAAAGCCACATACACAAAGCCTTTGTTTATTCATTATTAATGTGTAAAATCAAAAATTTAACACCCATATCATTTGAATAAGTACATGTGTATAAGCTTTCTCAGCTTTTACATATTGCATAATATACTGCATAGATACATTGCTTGCATAGGATATAAACATTTGTTACGAGATTTTGATTACTTGTGATATTTTATTGGTTTCTTACTGGATACATAAGAGAGAAAGTTGATGCATTACTTTAAAAAAGTTAAATTTATATACTGAAAACATATTCTGAGATAAATGAATTAACATTCATTGCCTCGATTTACACATAACATTGTTATAGTTTGGTTTGTTTAGTTTCAGATTTGCGTATTTGGGAATTCATTGTTTGTACACATTTTAGAACTTAGCATGACAAGTGAATAAAGCAAATTAAACTTTTTTAAAGACTTTTTTGACGAGCATGACCCATGAGCCCTTTTATTGAAATAAGCAACAGGAAAGGAATAAGGAATAAGTGGAGAAGAGGAACACATTTTTCAGATCTCCTGTTTCTGTTATATACCCTATATGTCTAAATACTCAATTCTGCTTCTCTGATTCATAATAAAGAGTGGAAATGGAAAACTTTCTTCCTATCAACTAGCAAAGAAGTCAAGACAATGTAGTAGTATAAACCATGGTATGTAATGTATTCCGAGTCGGATGCTTTTTCCAAGTATATCCTCTCTTTAGGGAAGCTTTTAAGTGGAATCGAAACCTGGTCTTGATCTGCTGATGCAAGAGAAACCACTTTTTCTCTTGTAACTATCCCAAATCTGAATTATAGACTGTTCATTTTTTTTAGGAATAATAAACCAACTCCTATTTTTTTTTAAAAAATAATTGTTTATTAAATTGTATTTTTTAATTTCATTTTCCTCTAAATAATTCTTTACTTGTAATTACTGTTATATGAAGAAGCTGGTATTTATTGCTTCTGTGTGTTTGCAGTCTGTAAATATAAATCTTTCAGATTCAATATTTTGGCTTTAATCTTTAATGTAAGAGATTTTTTTACTGAGATCAGTGAATTCTACTTTTACATAAGCACAATTTTATTATCTTTAATATAAATTTGGCTAAATCTGAAAATAAAAATATGGCCTTATTAATTTCAGATCAATCAGTATTGATAAAGTGATCATTGTATATAAATTAGGTAAATTCCATATGACCTCTGCAAAGCCATATACTATAAACTAATGCTGTTACCAAATTTAAAAGCTTCCAGGTCATTGTCAAAAAGAGAAGAGGAGTAATACTAAGGGAAAAAACACTCTTAAAAAGATATTATTTAAAAAAATGTCTTGAAAAGGTCTCTAGACTGCAAATAGGCAACATGATTTCATACTTGATCATGGTATTTTGCTCAGCCAGAAACCTATTGACAGAAAACTTAATCTGACTGTAATATAGTTTTTATAATCTGGATTAAAAATATAATCTGCATGCTTCAATTTTTGAAAATTTGCATTTGGGAATAATTTATTTTGATGTAATAAAGTATTCTGAATTATGAGATGCTTGTAAGTCTGAAATGATTTATTTGTTGTCAGATTAATATGGGATTTTTTTGTGAGCCCTCAGTACATAGAAATTGGAATTGGAAAGCTTCAAATGGTAGTTGATGGGTAAAACTGCATTTTCTAAACACCCAGTAGTGAAGATGTTGACAGAAATTCTAGCCCACTGAATAACACCAAACAGCAAGTTGAAATTAGAGATTTATTGGATACTACGGTTTGCAAAGTGTGGTGGACTCCAAATAAATATTTGAGCCACACCTAGTCACAACAAAGACGCACATTATATGCATTCTATCCCAACGCCTTGGCCCCTCCTCTGTGGCTTCATTGGCTGAGCTTTAGAGGTTACAATCTTATCAGGATTGCCTAAACAAAATACATTATCCCTGCCCCTTACTATTTTGCTTCACCTATTCTCTTATATATATTTTATCATGAAATCCTACAGCTTAGTGTGGAAATCCTATAGCCTACGTGTAGAAATCTTACAAGGTACCTGTACATGTAGAAATTGTGTAGAAATCTTACAGTCTACATGTAGAAATTTTTGTGTAGAAATCTTACAGTCTTTAAGTGTAGAAATTTTACAGAGTAAGTGTCACTTAACTTCACTTTTTATTCTAAAATTTTATTCCTCACAAAGACAATGCTCCTGGACAGTTTTTTTAGATTTTTAATTTCTATTTTTATAAATAAGATAAAATAATATTTGATGGAGCTTAGTCAAGATTTTATTTCATACCATGAGAATATTTGTGAGATTTTGTACAATGCACTTGGGCTTTTGCTTGCTTCGCTGCATTACAGTATAGGACACTATATGAACACAGACATGGTGTGTAAATCTTGGTTTATGGATTAGGCTGTTATGCAAATTGTGGTAGTTGTGGCTTAGTGCCATATGCCAACTTGGTCACTGAATTCATTTTTAATCATCCTTAAATCCACGGTTAGAAAGCAATGTGTTACAAAAAAAAGAGGAACAGATCTTGAATATCAAAATCATGATGTTTGAATGTTATGTGCTATCCAGCTTGAACTCGGGATGGTCTTTCCACAAATCTTAAACTGCCGGTTTACATGTTTTAGCAGTGCATTTTAAATATATGCTCTTTGGCTTTCCATAGCCTATTTCTAAGAACCAGAAACTGAAAAGAACGTTTAACTTTACCACACATACTTCTATAAAGAGTTAGCGATCGGATTAGAAATATATTCAATGGAATCGCTCCATTCAGTTCAGACAGCAGACCAAAAAATAAAGGATGCAACGAAAGAATAAGGAGCCAACGCATCAGAAGAAATAGACAGCCCCTTATCAATACAATAGTACACAACAATTCAAGTCCAAACAAGCTAGATTGTGTCTGCTTAAATACCAAAACAGGGATAGACCACGCGGGTCTGTGCTTGCGCAATAACAGAGAACGGGCCAGCGGAAGGCGGAGCGAAAGCGGCCGATCCCCCTTTGCTGTTGGGGTCTTTGCCTTTTCAAGCCCTTCGGTCAACTATAAGCCAGATAAAAGGAAGTGGGCGAGACGAGGATGCGGATTTCGGCTCAGTCGTATGGAATTGCTGCAGAAGTAGGTTGTCTTGCTTCTCAGCTCTGCTTGAATGGCCTGGTAAGTGCGGCGCAGGATCGTAGCTGTGAATGAGCGGTTTTCTGTTCTCGGGGGAAGGGGAGGGGGGAATCCCATCGGATGAACGAGAAGGCCTTCCTGAACGATCGACCCATAATGACCCAAAGAGTGCGGGAAGCGACGGGTGGAGCACCTGCAGAGGAGCGACTTAGGATGTCTGTTAACGGTGCTATTGAAAACGCTCTTGCTTGCAAATTCTGTATAATATCTTTCGGATTTAACTGGGTGTTTTCACCTCAGTCATCAGCGAGGTAATCAGCTCCTCTCATTTGAGGCTCGTTGAAATGGTTCGATTCATGTTAGCTGGGGTAATTAAAAATGATGCAATGAAATTGAGGAATCTAAATTGGTGAACTTTATGACCGAACTGAGCTTGCCCGGTTTACTTTTTGCTGCAGTGACCACCTTAGACTTTTATCTTAACTGTTCGCTTAGGCTTCATGTGATGGCCTTCCACAGAAGGAGAACAGTTATGTACAGCTAGTCATTATGTTATATTGATTCTTTTGTTCTCAAATAGCTCAGAAGTCCAAATTATGGACTTAACATGAAATGGATTTCAGTGCAACCTTGGAGCATCTGAAATTAATTGTGCAGGAGAAAGGGGAAATGTTAGCCCCACTCTAAACTTGGGTTCTTCCCCCCCCCCCATTATTTCACCTTCTCGACATAATGTTTGATTTGGCCGGGACAAATATTTTCCAACTGTCCACAGGGAAATATAAAAAGATGTTTACTGTATAGAAGAATCTAAAATCTTGAGAATCGTTTCCATCCTAGTTGTATTTCATTTTTCTTTTACAGCTAAATTCTAGTTGCAAAAGACAAAACTCATAAAAACACAAGAACTTCCATGTCTTGTTTCCCATAGTAGCTTGCCATATGTCCCCAATATAATCACATGCAGAATGTTATGTGCTCCTGGCTACTTTCCTTCGTGACCAGATGCAAGCTTGCCTGACCAATATTCAGCCAAGACACAGTGAAGGCCTTTTGTTTTGTTTATTGCAATAAGCAGAAGAGACGCTTTAAAAGCTTGGTTCTCTTCAAAGTTTTAACCCAAAATATCTCCTTCTTTTATTCATCCCTATCATCGGCCGCTACAGCCCTTCTCTTTCCCCATTGGCTGAGGTACTATGAGGTTACACTCTTTCCGTCTGCTTATACATATTTCCCGATAACATATTAAATCATATTCACATATACAATAAGAATAAGAAAAATTAGACATTTAAATGGTTATTTTAAACTCAGTATATATTTATGTCCCCATTTTAAACAATAAGTTCTTTTCTTGCTTTTCAATTCAGTGTGCCTCTCTTCTTATCTTATTTGGCTTAGTTTCCTATTTTCCCCTTCAACCTGTCCTTCCTGGCTAGCCATTTCCTTTTAAAAACTATATATATATATATTATGGCTTCTCTTCTTCCTTTCTCAGACCCAGCTATTTTTGCCTATATGGTTTATCTTACTTCCTTTATTTTATCTCTTCCTGGCTCTCACCATTTGTATTTTATTCTTCTATTAAATTAGTTTCCATTGTATGGTAGGTTTAACTGACTCTGAAGATTTATCATATTGATGCATATTTATCAATCCCCCCTGTATTTCTGTATACTCTGATGAATCTTCATTTTTGGCTATATTAAATAACATAAATTGAATCTGTACATCTTCTCCAGAGATGTTTTTTGCTACTGACCCCAATATTTTGGTGCAAAATGAAATACAGTAGGGTAAACATTGGAGACAGACACAATACATAATACCTATCACAACTATTAACACTAGTCCTATAAATATTTGTTTTAACCACCCAAAATTGGGAAGCCAATTTGTTAACCAACTCCAATCACCCCACATATTTTCATACTTTTGTTCAGGAGCTTTGGCCACATTCCTGATTCCTTTTGCAATGTCCATCACTGCTTCATGATTATCATCTATCTGTAAACAACAGTTAGTGTAATTAAATTTTCCACATACTCCTCCTTCAGAAGCTAATATATAATCTAAAGTCATTCTATTTTGAATTACAGTTTCTCTAATTTGTCCTACCTCAGTAGCCAGTAATTCTAGAGCTGTAGCTGTTTGATTAGCTATTACTTCTACCACAGCTTGTAATCTTATTATTCCATTGATCAAAGTATATAGCCCTCTATATCCTCCTATGGTCCACCAATTCCAGGTGACTGGTTGTAATTCTTTTATTATTCTATTTGTGGACCATACACCCTTCCAACTCTGTTCTGGGGCTTTAGCTATTTCCCTCTTTCCCCTATATTTTTTATACGAGGGGATTTGTATTTCATTATCCTTTTCATTTTCTAATAAAAAGAATTCAGGTATCACTACCCCTGGATAGCAGATTCCAGTCCAATTTGGGGGCAATGCTCGATATGCTCTTGACCCACATATCCAGTATTTTCTTGCTGGCTGTCCCTTAGGAAAAGGTCCCTTCCAATTGCCATCCCATCCAACTGGTGCTATAGTCATATATTGTTCCTCCATGTGGCACAGGCATAGCCCACAAGGTTGTTCCTACACATCTAAATATTTTCCCTTCCTTTGTACATTTATCTGTAGGCCATTTATAAATGTTCCAATATTCAGTGAATCCTGCAGTTAATGTTCCATTTATATGTCTTCAACCCCAGATCCATTCTGTTAACTCCTTATTTAACTATCCCCTCCTTATTTTGCTTTCTGCATAAGCATCCCAATCTTAATCTATTTGCTGCATAAGAACATTGTTTTTTAGTGTACTTTGTTTTAAGTTGAGTACAGTTTACAGGGCCTGTTGTAAGTAGAATCTTGTCATATGTTTGAGTCCAAATACATTGACTTTTCCCCAACATTTGATGTCCTTTACTTCTATTTAAACAAAAGAAGCCAGTCGGAACATTACTTAACTCTCACATATGTCGGTTAGTATCAGTCCAATTGCTAGTGTAATCCTCAGCGCCAGGGAGAAGGAAATGTGGGCTCAAAGGAACTTCTCTCATAGGCCATTGAGCTATCAAAGGCCTGCCACACACCCAACATTTGGTTAAATTGAACACCTTATGCACTTGTTCTGCAAATTCCACAAACAAATTTTTACCTTCATTTCCCAGGTTCTGGTGTGTTATCTTCAGGAATATTAGAATTAGAATCCACCCCCTCATGATTATTACACAGTATCTTACACCCGTAAATTGATTCACAGTTACAACAATAACAATAATCACTAGCTATTACAGAGGTGACACATCTACCACCTAATTCTTACAATTTGTAAATCTACTTTTTCAGTTTCTAATGGTGTGACTTCTGTCTCAGTTATTGGTTTTACTTGTAACAAACCACTTTTATTTTTCTCATGAGACACCACCAACACTTTTGTTGTTCTGGGATCACCTTGAATTCTAATAGAGATGTTTGAAATAGATGGGGATTCTGTTCCATCACCCATTCAAGTTCTTTTAAATGTGGCTTTCAGTCCTTGTCCTGGAATAACTGTCCAACCTCTTTCAGGTCCAGTCACCACCTTTGCTCGTGTGTAGTGAGTCCAACCTTTTTCAGCTGTCTGGACAGCAGATTCAGTAGTCAGTAACACTAGGTAAGGACCTTCCCAGCTTGGTTGTAAAGGTTCTTCCTTCCATTTACGAATTAGCACCCACTGTCCCGACTGGATCTTATGGACTGGAAATTCCAAAGGAGCTGTTTGTGCCACCAAGCTTTCCTGTCGAAGAGAAGATAGAGACCCCAGTACTTGTTCCACATATCTTTTAATAAACAAATCAGATATTTCTGGTAGAATGCCCCCACCTTCTATCTTTGGCAATGGCAATCCAAACATCAATTCATAAGGTGATAATCCTACATTGGCCCTTGGTTTAGTTCTAATCCTAAATAGGGCCAATGGTAATACTTTGGTCCATGGCATCCTGGTTTCCAATATTAATTTTTTTAATTGATTTTTCAAAGTTTGATTTGCTTTTTCCACCCTTCCAGAACTAGAAGTGTGCCAAGCTGTGTGATGTTTCCACCTGATCCCCAAAGAGTCCATTATTATTTGTAACACCTTTGCAGTGAAATGTGTTCCTCTATCACTGTCAAATGCTTCCACAATACCATATCTTGGAAGTATAACATAAAGGAGTTGAAATCCACAAGTCATAAAAGAGCCAAGGTTGCCTATCCTGATCTAGATAAAAAGATAAACTGAATTACACAAAATGATTTATGACTGTATTATGTACAAATGATGAATGTGTTATTGTTAGCATGTTTAAGCTTTTATTGACATTTGAAACAGGAAAGAACAAGTTAAAGAGTACATGTTCAAATGGGCCAAGAATTTTGGTTATAATATACAAATGCACCAGATGGGAGAAGATATGACTAAAAGGACTGAAATATACATTATGTTTTAACTTAAGATAAAATTTTACAAAACAATATACACGGTTACTTCCAAACTATCTTGCAAGTGCATATAATGATACCAAGAATTTTGTAGACTAATATTAAGTTGAAACTAGATTTTTGTTGCTGATACACATGGATAGTCAACTAATCTGATTCTTATAAGAACATTGGCCCCCTGGCCATCTATAGTCTAGCAATCTGCTCTTACAGTGGCTGACAACTGCACAAGGAAAAGTACTAATTTCCCTGCAGATGTGTTTCAGTAGGAGTCACATTGCCATCAAGGCTAATAGCCATCGATCCCCATCACTTCCATCAACTGGCCCTATACTTTTTTGTAGCCAGCCAAGCTGGTAGCCAGCACCACATGTCATGATAGAAAATTCCAAATTACAGGTTGTGTGAAAACAAAGTTCCTTTGGTCTGTCCTGGTTTTTTCAAGATTGATTGAGTGATTATTCATTCACTCTCTCACTCACTCACACTCACTCACTCATTCATTCATTTCCTGCCTTTGTTATTTTTACAAATTACTCCAGGCAGTGAACATACCCAGTACACCTTCCTCCTCCTATTTTCCCCACAACAACCCTGTGAGGTGAGTTGGGCTGAGAGAGAGTGACTGGTCCAAAATCACCCAGCTGGCTTTCAAGATTAAGACAGGGCTTGAACTCATAGACAAGCTGGTAAGATCCTTGGGCAGGCCAGCAAGGAATGGGGACAGGTCCTGGGAAGCATGGGTAGGCCAACACAGATACTGGGGAGGGTGGGCCAGCAGGGAACATGGGCAGGTACTGGAGAGGGTGAACTGGCAGGAAATGTGAGCAAGCAGGTGCTGTGAGTGAGTATGTTACAGAGGATGGGTGGGTAGGTGGTACAATGGAGTATGGATCTTATATTCTGCAGTGGCTTCTTTGGGAGAAAGAGCAGCAAAAAAACAGACCAATAGAGTGGCTTGTGACCTTCCCTGCTGGATTCTCCATTGACTTTGCTTGCGGGAATCCAGAATGGAAGATCACAAATGGCAATCATGCAGCCTGCTGCAATGATGTACTTGAAAGGTCACAATCACATGAGTGTGGGTATGCTGTCAGTTAGAACTTAAAGAACTGGTTGTATATATCACTAGATCAGTGCCTTTGTAAGTTTGAAAGGTCATTGAAAGAATGATTACAGCTTGAGGACTACTTGTATATATTTTTTAATATTGTTGATTCTCAGATATAAACTTATTTTTATTAGCTGTATTCAAGGTCTAATAAAAAAATTTAAAATTCTTTACAGAAAATGATGATGTTACAGAAGCCTCTTGATGATACAGTATTTATGTGATGTTATGTAACAATGAAGTTGATACCTGTGGAATATGGGCAGCGTGGTAGCATCTTACGTAGATGAGAAAGAGATGAGGGGATCATGTGGCCTCATTGCTCCAAAACCCATATTTTGTGCTTCTTTCTGGCACTGTTGGTTATTTTGGCATTAGTCTACAACTTTTATCTACTAGAGGTAAGTTACTTAACCCTCCAAGAACTGGCCAAATAATTTGAATGTTCTTTTTTCTTACCATCCAGGTCTTCCCATGAGAGGTAGATAGTTTTCAGGGATTATAAATATATTGCTCTACGTTACTTATTGGAAAAATGCCATATCTTGACACATAAAGATAAAATATTTAACTAATCTATTTTTTATCTCTTTTGATGATTACAAGATCTTTGAACATTATGATTAGTTTTTCAATACTTTATAATGCTATGCGGTTTGCCTACTGCACACCCACCTTTAAGCCCAAACCACTAAGGAGGAAAACAAAGGTAAGGGTGTCAAAATGAATTAAAATCTTATTAGTTACAAGCAGCAGATGCCACCTGGCTAATTACATTAATAGATCTGAGCCTATTGGTCTCCTAATTTGAGCATATTGGACTTGTTGAGAAACTTCATTGCATAGAAAAGCAAGTCAGGAAAGTATAGCTTATTTAGTCCATCTCTCTGATCTGTGGGAGGAAGGGGAGAAAAAAACAGATCAGGACAGGACTACACATACTGATTATAATAGCAAACACGTGACAAAGACACTCTGCAAAGGTTGTAAATGTAGGCATTGGTTGCAAAGTTACTTTTTCATTATTGCTGTAACTTTGAATGATTGCTGCTTGAGGCAGTCACTAAGTGAGATCTACCTGTAATAAAATAAAACCTTTCATATAGTTCCATAAATATGGAATTGTTAGAGGCTTTCAAAAATGATTCTTATCAAATACCCAATAAACTAGCAGCACTGCCTTCAATGCAGTATTGACATAGTTGTACAAATTAGCAACAGGTTGGAAATCTTGAATGCAATGAATTTCTACTATGAATTTACAACAGATGTGATCAAAACCTAATGATACATAGATGGAGCTGGACCAACTTAATTATGAAATCTGCACAAGCCAAAGATAAACAAGGTTACGCTTAATGTCAGCTATTTGGAGTAAAACAATCTGTGAAGCAGCACTTAAAGCAGTACCTTAAAGGAGAGAATGTTCACGGGGTCAAGATGGCAAGAAGGGGTCAAGACCAATAAGCTGTCAGTGAGGCAGTGAATCTGAAGGAAAAGCAAAGTTGAGGTTATAAGAAATCCAAGATCTAAAAGATGCATTACCACAGTATTCACAAACAAGATACAGTTTGTGAGAAGTTGTTCTCCATCAGAATGGATGTAGAATCCACTCATTGGGTAATTTAATCCCTCCTGCTCAGACTAAGAACAAAAAAACTTTGCCACGCCTCCTTCTGGGTGTGACTTCCCAGTTTTTTCTTAGTCTCGAGCTCAGCTACACGCGTTTTGGAAAAGGCTCCTCAGCTAGCTTGCTTCTCTAATTGTTTTTTTGGATTTATCGTTGAATTTGGCTACTCTTAAATTCAAAATTGATCTAACTGGCTTTTGCTTCACAACTCAGAAGTTCTTGGAGATTGTGTGGGGGGGATAAGGACTCTGTCCTTGCTCCTCTGCAGCCCTTTGAGCTTTGAAAAAGGGGAGGCTGCAGGCTTTCGTTTGGAAGGGAGCTCCCTTCGACTATAGCCTCTTTGCAATCCCATCAATCAGCCAGACAAGGAGATTGTTTTGCCTGCACGGAGGCCTCCGGAGCACTATTTCTCACCTCGAGGCCTCGAGGGAGACTTTTCCTGACTCCGGATCGCAGCTGCTACTAATCGCAAGTGCTTGGGGACCTGGGGGAGGGGAGGAAACAAAAAAGTCAAGCCTTTTTTTTGTTTTACAGATTTTCCTTTTAAACAAACCCCAGAGTTTTCCCTCCTTGCTTCTCCAAGGGTTTTCAGGCCTAGCGGGCGCCATTTTGACTGCATGGCTTAGCGCGGCTGTTACTAAGAGGGCCCATGTGGCGGACGCCATTTTGGAGGCCTAATTAAATTTATTTACAACATCATTTGCAGTTATTCCTGCATTATCGCAGATTTGAATTTGTTGCCTGAGTACCCTGGTCTGTGAGCAGACCCATTCGGGGGGGGGGGATATTTGTGTACCACAGTGCTTGTGGTGCAGCTTGTGGGGGCTGCCCCAGGTGTGGGCCTTGGTTGCATTTGAGCAAGCCAAGGTGTTATTTTCTGGGCTTAAGGCCTAGAAAAGGAGGGCGAAGAGATCTTCTTTTTTGACCACCTGTTCTCAGTCAGTGACCTTTTGTCACAGGGCCTGCGCAGACAGCATTAGAACACTGGCTGCTCTTGCCATTGCTTTCTGTTCAGAGCGAGGATCGGTTTTCCATCTGCGTGTTGGTTCCCCCCAGATCTAGGTACAACTGCCTAGGAGTACCTAGATTGCAATGGCAGACAGTTCCTCGCCCCAGGCATCTCAGACTAGTGCCCCCCCCCCCCGCACAAGCAAAGCGCAGATCAGAGGAATTGGACGTGGGGGGGAAGAAAAAAGCTAAAACCAAACATTTGTCTTCTAAAGATACCTCCAAGTCAGCCGGGCGAGAGGCCACAAGGAGACACCTAGCACTGGAGAGAGAATTCTCCAAAGCACAAAGGCTCAGGTCCAGTGGGGCTGAAATGGTTTTCCCCGCCCCACTGGACGCCCCTTTGTCGGAACCTCAATTTGAATCATCGCAGGATGCCCCAAGGCCTTGTTCTCCTCAGGGGGAAACTGAGCAGGTTGGTCCTCCTCGTTCCTCCCCTTCACGGTCACACCACACAACTGAGAGCAGGCGTGCCTCAACGGAGGTTGGGGCCAGCTCCAGGGACCAAGGGGAAATGTGGTCCCAGGCTCAATTCCAGGCCTTTATGCACCATGCATTCAGGCAGTTTATGTCACCCACTGAAGGCAGACAGGTGCAGTCGCATCCTACTTCTCCCACTTTCATTCCCCCACCTCGGGCGGAGCGTGGCACTAGACCTAGCTCCGATGTTTCGGAAACCTTCTCACAATTAGGAGAGGAGGGTTCAGTGGAGCTAGGGGTAGCAGACACTCCTTTGTCTGAGGAGGAGGAACCTGAGCAGGTGACTTCTTCCGGTCTCTTTGATCCGTCCGTTTTTCGGTCTCTCCTCATAAAGGCCATTGACACGGTAAAACTTACCTCGGCCCAGGAGGAGGCACCATCTTCCTCGGCCAACCGGGAAGCAAACCCCTTGTTTGCGGAAAAGGTCAAGGAGGACCCGCAGATCCCATGTCCACTAGTCTTCAAGACTACGGTGGAAAAGCAGTGGGCTTCACTAGCTACCACGCCTTCCCAGAGCAGTTTGGACAAGAAACTTTACAATGTCTCTTCTTCCTTCGCTTCTCTTCTAGAAGTTCCATCTGTGGATGTTCCGCTGACTTCTCTGTTCTCCAATACAGCAGTTCCCGGAGACATGGCTGAATTCTTGAAGGCTGAGGACAAAAAGTTCAAGTTCTCCTTTCGTAGAGCTCACCAATCTTCAGCTTGGGCCATAAGGGTGGCAACCTCTTCCTCCTTCTTTGCACATTCAGCTATTATGTGGATGCAGGAACTCCAGGCGCTCATTCCGCCGGATCAGGTCAGAGCGCACCAAGCAATAGGCAAAGTCGTGGCAGCATCCGAATATATTGCGGACGCTTCCTTGCACTCAGCCAGATGTTCGGCCAGATCTATTGCTGCCTCAGTGGCTTCATGCAGGCTGCTCTGGTTGAAGCAATGGCACACTGATTTAAAGGCAAGGTGGCGCCTAGCAACATCTAAGTACAGTGGCACCCACCTTTTCGACCCAGTCCTAGAGCCTCACATTATTGAAGGCAAGGACAAGCGCAAGGTGATGGCCCATCCCTCCCAAAAATTGGATAGATGGCCCCAGCATGATTATCGTAGGCCAGCATTCCGTCCCAGTAGCTCCTGGGACTGGAGACAGCCCTTTCGGGCAGGGCAGTCCTGGGATTGGCCCAGAGACTCGTGATCCTATTCTTTCAGACAGGATTGCCAACAGGACCGCCAGTTTAGTGGAGCCAGGGGTCAATCCCAGACCAAGCGCCCCTTCAGGGGTTGGGCAGTCGTCCTTACAGGCGGTCCAAGTGACGCCAAGGAGGATTACCCCATTGGGGGTTGACTGGCACTGTTTTACGACATCTGGGAGAGCACAACCGCGGACGCTTGGGTCAGGGAGACAATAAGAAGGGGTCTCTCCCTAGAGTTTCGATCTTCTCCCCCAGATCGTTTCATACAGTGCCCGGTTTCAAACAATACTTCAAAAGCACAACTAGTCACGACAGCCATCGCACATTTATTAGAGATCAGAGCCATAGAAAGGGTTCCTCAGGACCAGATCGGGGAAGGGTTCTACTCCATCCTGTTTGTAGTTCCCAAAGCCTCAGGCAGTTGGAGGGCGATACTGGACCTAAAAGGTCTAAATTACTTCCTCACTTACAGGAAATTCAAGATGCAGACCCTAAAGTCCATCTTGGCAAGTATCAGGAAGAGGGATTTCCTTTCTTCCATCGACCTGACAGAGGCTTATCTACACATTCCGATCATCCAGGAACACCACAAGTTCCTGCGGTTCTGTTACGCACGCAGTCATTACCAGTACCGGGCCCTCCCGTTCGGCCTATCATCTGCCCCGAGGGTCTTTACAAAAGTCTTGGCCGTGCTGGCGGCTCATCTAAGAATGAAGCCCGTACGGGTACAGTGCTACCTAGACGACATACTGATATAGTCCAAATCTTTCCAATCAGGTCAGTCGGACCTGGCAATCACAATTCAAACATTCAGGATCACGGGTTTTCCATGAATTTCAAAAAGAGTCACACTACCCCCACAAGACGCCTGCTCCATCTGGGAGCATTGATAGATTCCAGCCTATGCAAGGTATATCTCTCCCAGGAGCGTCAAGTCAGCATTCGGAAGCTGGCTCAGCAGATCCGAAGGGAAAAGAGGGTACCACTGGTACAACTATCCCAACTCCTGGGGAAGATGGTCTCTTGCTTGGGCATCGTTCCATGGGCCAGGCTACACTTCAGGAACCTCCAGTGGTTCCTCCTTTCCTTTCAAAGACGCAAAGTCAGTGCCTCCAACAGGAAAGTCCCCATCACACTCTGACCTCCCTTCTATGTTGGACTTCGTCCGCCTTGAACAAAGGTACCCTTTTCAAGGAACCTCCCAGAATTACCCTTACCACAGATGCCAGTCTGTTTGGTTGGGGGGCACATCTTCAGAGCCACATAGCTCAGGGTCAGTGGTCCAGTTCGGACTTGACACACAACATAAATTGGCTGGAGCTCAGGGCCATCCACCTGGCTCTCCAAAGGTTTTCTCCCCTTGTGTCAGGGAAACACGTGTGTTGCCTCGTCTTGACCTCACAATCAACAGACACAGAGCCACCACGTTAGGAACGAAGAACTTCTACTTTATTTCAGCAAAATAACAATTTAAAGTCAGCACTGACAACCATTACAATCATGGTTCCTTTATACTTTTCACAAAGTCCCCGCCTAGCCCACACCCACGCTATCACCCATACGCCACCACCCTCTTCCGGACCGCCCATTTTCCCCTATATGGCCATCCATCCGATTGTACTGGTCTTCAGCTGCCGCCTCCCGACGCTTCCCGACGCTTCGGCGGCTTTCTGACGCTTCGGCAGCCTGTACTGTTTCACTTATTGTCGGCCTCATTCCGGTGTCCGCGCATGGGTACTAGGCAGTTTTAGCCTTTCCACCCATCTGCGCATGTGCTATACTATCCGGACCGCCGTCTGCGCATGTGCAGGTCCAGCGAGGCCAGCTGGCTGTCGGATCGGCTCCTGAGCATGCCCGACGATCAGCTGGATGTCGGGCAGTCGGGACGCCCGTCCAAGGAGTCGGGGCGTCTTCGGAAGAGGTAACCGGGATGGCTTCTGCTACGGCCCGATATACTGCCCCCCTTTACCAGGCCTCCCCCTGAAGAAAAGACAAGATATGTTAATTCGGTTCACCCACGTCCACCTTTCCGACCCCCACTGTGCTAATGGTTTTTGGCTTTCTGGGGTTTTGCACATGGAATCGTTTAACTAAACTAGGAGCCCATACATTATCGGCCCATACCCACGTAGCCTCAGACAAAGGGTAACCTTTCCATCTAATTAGATAATACAATTTATGTTGCCTAATACGGGAGTCCAGTATCTCTTGTACTCCATATTCGTCATCAATAACAGGGCCTGGTTCAGTTCCTTTCCGGTACATATATACTGGTTTTAGTAAACTGCAATGAAACACCGGATGTATTTTCCCTAACAGCCGAGGTAATTGTAATTGTACAGTAACCGGATTAATGATTTTAACAATTTTAAACGGTCCAATGTATTTAGGTCCCAACTTTCTACACGGAAAGTTTGGGTGAAAACCTTCCCTTGGGATAAATGGGTTAACATATCTTTCAACAAGGGTAAGGGATACATGTTTTCAGTACATACCGCATTCAATCCCCTAAAGTCCATGCAAAGCCTTAATCCACCATCTTTCCCTGAAATATCACAGGAGCCGCAATCCGAGACCGGGCTGGCTGTATAAAGCCGCGCGCCAAGTTTTTATCGATGTAACTCCTTAGTTCCTCCAATTCCTTGGGAGACATTGGATACATCCGGCGCTTTGGCAGTTTTGCCCCCGGTACGATATCTATTGCACAATCTGTAGGGCGATGTGGCGGCAACACATCACATTCCTGCTCACTAAACACGTCCCGTAGATCCTCATACTCTACCGGGAACAACCGTTTCCTTTCACTACCTTCCACTGCTACTTTGATCCTTTCCTTCCCAGGAAGTTTGGCATGTGACGGTGGCATACATGGTTTCTCACTACCATCCTCCGGAGGCTGGGGACCGATAGCTAATCTTATGCGGCGACATCCACCCGCCCACCATATGACCGGTTGCCATTTATCAAGCCAGGCCAATCCCAAGATCACCTCTTCGGTCATTGATGGAATCACAATAAAACATACTAATTCCCAATGATCCCTCATCTCTAACCGCACAAGTTCAGTCACTTGAGTCACCGGTGCCCCACCCAACAGTGATCCATCCACCTGTTCGAAATTGATAGGCCGAGATAGATCTTTCAATCGGAGCCCCAACGCATCCGTTTCCGACTTATTAGACAACGTGTGCAACCCGAATCTATCAACGCCTTGCATTCCATGCGTTGACCGGTCTTGCAATTTACCAGGAAGATTGGTATGGCGAATGGTACCACTGGACTACTTACCATGGGATCCTCTTCTGGATCCTCCTGATCGTACTTGGCAGGTATCACCTCTGGGGTTGAAACCGCCATTCCTGGCGAAGGTCCATAGGGTGTGCTGTCTTCATTTTGCCGCAAAGCCCTCAGTTGATTTGTACCCCTAAACGGAGTGACATCCTGCCTTCTCGCCGCCGGCCCAGACTGTCCTGAAGACACTCCCTTTCCTGGAGACATTGGACACTGGGCCACCCTATGACCCGGTTTATTGCATCGGAAACAGCAGAATATCCCCCTTGGCGCCACTGGTGGAACTGTTTGTACCGGAGCCCCCACAGCTTTAGGTTTACTGGCTGGTTGCTGTGTGGGTGCGGGGAGAGGGGAGGGTGCACCTGGACTGAGCTCCAGCAACCCAGCATAGAGTTCAGTAACTGCCCTATACAAATCGTGTAAACGGGCCGGAACCCCCCTCACCAGACAAGCCTGTCGTAGCTCCACATCTAGCCCATGTCGGAAGTGATGCACTAGCAACTTCTCAGGCCATGATCTTAGTTGGCCTGCCACACGCTGGAATTCCCTAATGAACTCCCGTACTGGTCTGCCCTCCTGTTTTAAGCATACAATTTCTGCCTCCGCTCTTTGAACCCTGGTAGGGTCCTCAAACCGTACCCTCAAGGCCTCAAGGAAAGAACCTATATCTGCCAACTCGCTGGCGTGATCTCCAAACAAATCCGCCGCCCAAGTAGCTGCCTCACCCTGCAAATTGGCAGTCACTGCTACCACTATGGCCCACTGTGAGGTGTAATGAGTTGCAAAGCGATCTAAATGATTCAAAACATGGCCTAAGAACATGGCCAATTTATCCGGATCGCCGTCAAACGTAATCCCAAGAGGGGGAGGGGTCCATGGCATACCCGTGGGCCACACTAAAGCCGGTTGGGCACCTTGTTGTCCCCCACTGGCAGCGGATTGTTGGCCGAGATCCCCAGACCCTAAGGGCAGAGAAATAGGGGTGGTACGACTAGCATACGTGGGTCCCATTCTCACACCTCCCTATCCCCCTTGTTCCTGCTGTGCTGCCGTCACCTGCAATCGTGGGCTAGCCAAACGGAATCCAGACGAACCAATAGGAGGCTGGGGAGCCACCCCTTGTTTGGGACGGAAACCTGTTTCCCCGAACCTATCCCTTAAAACATCAAGGGTGTATTGTCCAGGAGCAGTGGAGTAACTCCATTCGTCCTCCTCGTCACCAGTCACTCTCCTTTCCCTCCAAGCTGCATAAGAGTCTCTTTCGCCCACCGTAGGCTGCCGACCAGTGTCCAAACGTTGTAATGCCGGACTTAACCACCATTCCCCCACCTCAGTCGCTGCTGGCCTCTGTCTAGTCTCAGGACCCACATCCACTGCTGGCAGAAGAATCCGTTCCTTCGGGCGTACTACAGGACCCTCCACCACTGCAGCTGGTTCCACGAGCAAGCCCTGGTCCTCCACCTGTTCAGGAGCGTCTTCAGCCGGGACAGCGTCTTGCACCCCTTCTGCCATGCTGCCTCCCATCTGTCCCCAAGGGCCACTCTAATAAATGAATTTAAGGGAGTGCTGACTTACTGTTGCCTCGTCTTGACCTCACAATCAACAGACACAGAGCCACCACGTCAGGAACGAAGAACTTCTACTTTATTTCAGCAAAATAACAATTTAAAGTCAGCACTGACAACCATTACAATCATGGTTCCTTTATACTTTTCACAAAGTCCCCGCCTAGCCCACACCCACGCTATCACCCATGCACCACCACCCTCTTCCGGACCGCCCATTTTCCCCTATATGGCCATCCAATTGTACTGGTCTTCAGCTGCCGCTTCCCGACGCTTCGGCAGCTTCCCGACGCTTCGGCAGCCTGTACTGTTTCACTTATTGTCGTTGGCCTCATTCCGGTGTCCGCGCATAGGTACTAGGCAGTTTTAGCCTTTCCACCCATCTGCGCATGTGCTATACTATCCGGACCGCCGTCTGCGCATGTGCAGGTCCAGCGAGGCCAGCTGGCTGTCGGATCGGCTCCTGCGCATGCCCGCCGATCAGCTGGATGTCGGGCCGTCGGGACGCCCGTCCAAGGAGTCAGGGCGTCTTCGGAAGAGGTAACCGGGACGGCTTCTGCTACGGCCCGACAACGTGTTGGTCCTGACAGACAACATTGCGGCCAAGGCTCACGTAAACAAACAAGGGGGGACCCACTCTTGGTCACTCATGCAGGAAGCCCTGGCCATAGGACTTTGGGCAGAGTTCACTCTGAGTTCCATCAGAGCGGAACACATCTCGGGGGAGGTGAATCAACAGGCAGACTCCCTGAGCAGGGCCACAGTGGATCACTCAGAGTGGAAACTGGACTCAGGTCTGTTCAGGCAAATATCACACAGGTTCAGGCAGCCCATCTTAGATCTCTTCGCCTCCCCAAACAACGCTCAGCTCCCCAGGTTCTTTTCCCGGTTCCCATCGAGGGGGGCAGAGGGAACGGACGCTCTCTGGAGCAGATGGCCGGAGGGCGTACTTTATGCCTTCCCTCCTCTTCCGCTACTACAAGCAACTATCCGCAAGCTCCTCCAGGAGCAGGCGGAGCTGATCTTAGTTGCTCCATATTGGCCAAGACGCCCGTGGTTTGCCGACCTGGTGGACCTGTCACTCTCACCACCATGGAAGATTCCTCCGGACCGAGTTGCTCTCAGCCAGGGGAACCTCCATCATCCGGACCCGCAGTGGCTTCAATTAGCCGCTTGGCACTTGAGCGGGAGAGTCTAGCCAAACAGTTTTTCTCCTCTGGGGTTATCTCTGTCATCCAGGCCTCACGGCGTCCCTCGATCAACAGGATCTATGACGCCACTTGGAGAGGTTTCTGCTCTTGGTGTACCAAAAAGCGACTTTCGCCGCTTGCTGTCACCATTCCAGACATATTGGACTTCTTACTTGAGGGGTTAACTAGAGGTCTCTCAACCAGTACCATACGTCGGCAGTTAGCTGCCTTGTCGACGGTCCTCACCTGTGACAACCAAGTTTCCCTGTCTCAACATCCAGCAGTTAGTGCCTTTCTCAAGGGCGCGGCCAATGTAGGGACACCTACGGTTCATCGTTACCCATCCTGGGACCTGTCCAGGGTGTTACAGGCCTTAGTTTCTCCTCCATTCGAACCTCTGAGCACTTGCTCCTTTCACTTCCTTACACTGAAGGTGGCCTTCCTAGTGGCCATTATGTCAGCCAGGAGAATTTCAGAATTGGCTGCCTTATCGGTCAGGGAGGACTTATGCACATTCCATGAGGACAGAGTGGTCCTTAGGCTGGATCCTGCATTCATTCCTAAGGTCAGTACAGGGTTTCATCGTTCTCAGGACCTAGTCCTTCCTAACTTCTGTCCCAACCCTTCCCACCATCTGGAAAGACGGTGGCATATCTTGGACGTGCGCAGGGCCCTGCGCCATTACATTAAACGAACCTCGGTCTTCAGGAAATCTGAGGCATTATTCGTGTCCTTTCAGCCCTCTACCATGGGTCGGAAGGTCTCTTCCTCTACTATTGGTTGGTGGATTAGGGCGTGTATTTCCAGGGCTTATATTTCTCAGTCCCTTCACATATTACAGCTCACTCTACACGTAGTGCTGCTGCCTCAGCGGCCTGGTCTGCCCAGGCATCACTTGAGGAGATTTGCAGGGCAGCGACATGGTCCTCTCCCTCCTCATTCATAAAACATTACAGAATAGATCCGTTTGCAGCAGCGGAGGCTGCTTTCGGAAGGAGAGTCCTACAGCGGGTGGTTGGTTCTCAAGGGACACAAGCCTAGACTTCCCTCCCCGTGGGGACATGAGCAGCTTTGGTATGTCCCAATGAGTGGATTCTACATCCATTCTGATGGAGAAAAGAGCGTTGTCTTACCTGAACGCTTTTTCTCATCAGGATGGTGTAGAATCCACACCCACCCTGTTAGTGTTAGTCTAGGCATGCATGTTTTTGTTTGGAGCCTTGCGTCTGGATGCTTCGCCTCGAAAAAACTGGGAAGTCACACCCAGAAGGAGGCGTGGCAAAGTTTTTTTGTTCTTAGTCTGAGCAGGAGGGATTAAATTACCCAATGAGTGGATTCTACACCATCCTGATGAGAAAAGGCGTTCAGGTAAGACAACGCTCTTTTCTCAACGCTGTCCAAAGTAAGTAAGTGAGCACAGTAAATAAACTGTCAGGCCTCTGTGCAGTGGAAAGCTGAGACTTATTAGACAGTAGCTGCAGAGACTGTTTTCCTTTTGGAACTCACTTTCTGTTAGCTAGCCTTCTAAACCTGCAAAGTTCAGCTCTCTGGTCCTTGCTTTTCATTGAGATCAAGGCCAAGGGCTAAGTGCATATGGAAAAGGTCCTGTGAACTTGTTGGATCTGTAAAAATCAGAGAAGTCACTATTTCCAGTACTACTAGAATCTCGGGCAACAACACTGCTACAGTTTGATGCTTCTATCTTTACTTTCTGTTTCCCTCATCTGAAGACATGCCCCCTGGCAAGTCAATCATAATCAGTTTTGTTGACTGCATTTTCTATTTAATTTAGGCTAATGACTATTTTATGGAAGATACCAGCAGCTTATTCCATTATCCTTCCACTGCAACTCTTAATAATTAGCTTCATTACATTAGAAGAGCCTTCAGAATCTCCTTCAAATGTGTCTCTTTGCATGAAATTCTTTCAACTAATGTGCAGGTCGGCATACATTCTCTCTACTATAAGAATCAGTTAGCATTGCATTAGATCCTAAAAGAGTAGTGAGTTGGTGGCTGGATATTCAGAATATAAAGAAACATTACATTAAAAACCCACCATGCACACATTTTTGTCAAATTATCAAGTACCATTTGCTGCTAAAATATTGCTTTACGTCATCTAATTTTGGTGAAGAACAAAACCAAAAGTTATATGATGTTTGCAATGAATCCATGAAGAGTTGGCTAAGTAGGCCCCTGCAGGATCCTAAGCCTTTCCCCCATAATTTATATTGGCAACCTCCCATACTTCTAGGGACAGCCTATTAGGTAAACCTCATCAACTACTCATGCCTAGGTGTTAAATTGCTAGGAAATAAATGAAGTGATGACCTTCTTCACCTACTTTTCTTCCTTTTATGTGGAGTAAGCAAGCAGGAAATCTTGTACTAAGGTTAAACACTTTTCAGAATAAAAGAACTCAAGTCTTTTATAGACAATAAGGTTAAGGGATTAGAAAAAAGCTAAAAGAAAAAATAGACAGTGGCAGGGGTAGAGGAAAATAACAATTTTGCGATTGTTTCAGCGGCTCTTCCCCAATCAGATATATACACACAACAAATGCAGACAAGGACAATAATAACTAAGCATTTTTAATCAGCTCTGAAAAGAAAAGACACTAATTCTCTCTTAATTAATATAATAAAAGTATTAAAATTGAGTGGTGTAATGATATGTTAAATACTATGGAAAAAGCATTTACATAACTAAGCCTGTAATCCCACATAACATATAACATTCTTTTATAACTAATGGAATAGATAAGAACAATTTGGGTTGCGTGATATTTCTTACTGACCATTTTGATATTATACTGCTGCAAAGTGTAATAAAATAAATATAGTAGATATGATTCTGTTGCTACAATTCTTGTTGAAAGAGTTTCTTTCTTTTGTAGAATCTCAATACCACAGGTTTAAAGTGGTTGGTAGAAGAGAATGAATCACAACCCTCATTGCCTACAACTAGAACACGCAGAAAGCTGTACTGTGGTTATGAGCATCAGGTTTTGTCCAAGATTGAACAAGAGGAAGAAGAATCTTTATTTGTTGCTCTACATTGGCCCAAACCTCCTGAGAACAAAGTCCCCTTTGTAAGGAGTACTGACCCTTTACATAGCAACTTTATGATACTAAATAATCATGCAAATTTCAAAGTTGGTGATCAGCTGGAGGTGCTTGTCCATATGAAGGATTATGAAGGAAACTCAAAGCAATATGGTGGTGACTACCTTCAGTCAAGAATTCATTCTGCAGATCTGAGAGCAGGAGCCATTGGAAGAACTGTAGATTATCAGAATGGATCATACATAATTTTTTTCACTTTACTTTGGCCAGGGGAGGTCACAGTATCTGTGTCCTTGGTTCATCCTAGTGAAGGAATCCAACTCCTTCAACGCTTACAGGAAGAAAACCCAGACAGGGCCTATTTTAAAAGCTTATTCAAATCAGGAAGGATTTCAGAAGTTACTATATGCAATGTGTGTTTGCCTGGGGACATGCCAGTCTGTAACTTTACAGATAGCTATACTGGGGAACCATGGTTTTGTTATAAGCCAAGAAGACTCTCCTGTGCTACTAGAATCAACCATTTTAAAGGGGGATATAAAAGAGGCCTTTTAACTTCAGAAGAGAGTAACTTTTTTCAAAGGTACTTGCTTTCTTAGATTGTATGTTTAATGTTTGTTTTGTATAGATTAATGTTATTTTGGCTCTTTTCTTTTTAAAATGTGGGATGGTGAAAAACTCTTCTTGAATGCATTTTACTAGGCTGAAATTAATCTTTTAAATAAATGTCAAACAAGCAAAATATCTATATAGTTCTGCTATAATCTTTTTAATTTGCTGAATAGTATAAGAGTGGGCATTTTAGTGCCACATTTATGGCTCATAATGTTCATCAACTATATTAACTTAGGGCTTGGTAGCAATAAAACCTGGCTCTTCAGATAACAGCTTTATATTCAGGAACTTCTTTATAATAGGAACTTCACAGACACAACCCAGTTAAATAAACTGTTTTATTGTAAATAATAAGTTGTATATGCTCAAACGATGACTACCATACTGCAAAACACAGAGATATTATGCCCCATATCTGTACACTAGGATTTAAATATTAAACCTTTTCCTTTTATTTTTTGATTCAGAAGACTTTGGGCCTTTCATTTCTCATCCCTGACAGTCAGAAACATCTGCTTAATACTTAATTAATAGTACTGTTGGGCCTAAGCACCTCTGGTTTTCATTTTGCATGTTCAGTCTTTTTATTTTGTGTTACTAGGAAATTATTGGGTTTTCTCCCCAAATTGGTTAAAATAATCTATTTCTAAAAATCCAAATATTTTTGTATTTGAAACTAACCCTAACCACTATCCCTAGTTTTAAATAAATCTACCCAAGATGCTTTGTAGACACACATTTTCCTGCAGACATTTCTTTTTAATACAGTAGTGGCAAAAATTGTGGAAACCTTTTGGGAAAAGTGTATTTTTCAGGTTTGATGGCTAATAACACCACTTTTTTTGGAGTAGTACCATAAAATTATATATCAATAGAAAGATAATTTAATCAAGAATGTGATGCAACATAGTTTGTTCAATTATCTGTATTGTATTCTATGAAAAGTTATAGCCAAATAACCAGAAAAAGGAAGCACAACTTGCTTAGGTTGATACCATGTAGCTTTTCATCATCTGATTGTAGCCAATGAGCATGCATGTTTAGAGAGCCAATCAGGTGTCATCTTGTTTTGCAATGAGCCAATCAGATCACAGTAGGATTCAGTTATTGATGTCATGTATTGAAGTTGAGAGGAAGACATTTGTCAGTGTTATGTGATCGCTATCAAGTTGGTTGAGTTTTTTTTTCTTTCATTTAGTGAGCTTGTAAAACGTAATAAAATTAAAGTAATGGTGCAAAAAGTTAACTGGTTGTCCAGAAAGCGATGTAAAATAGTATTATTAAGTGAACAAGGCTACAGTTATAAAGAAATTAGAAGAAAGATTGGTGGAAACTTAACCAAAGGTGGCATTTCTACTGTATACTTTTCCCAAAAGGTTTCCACAATTTTGGCCACTACTGTATATTATATAACATAAAGCTAGTATACGTGTTTTAGAAAAATAACAAACATTTTTTGTTCCTTTCAGAAATTTTTATTTTTAAATGCATCTTTCATGACTTTTTTTTTTTTTTTTTTTTTTTTTTTTTTTTTTTTTGTAAAAAGAAACATTACCATGTTTCCCCAAAAATAAGACCTGGTCTTATTTTTATTTTTTATTTTTTGCCTCCAAAAGAGGCACCAGATCTTATTTTTGGAAGATGTCGTGTGTGTCAATCCGGAGCTTGGTTCTTTCCTGAAGGCCTCTGACAGTGAAATGGAGGCCAGGGGCGCTGTGTGCATCAATCCGTAGTTCCATTCTCAGCTGCAGAGGCATTTGCTGAAGGCCTCTGACCGCGAAATGGAAACTAGGGACGATGTGCATGAGCGGTAGCAAGTGGCTGTAGAAGAAGTGGGCTGGGAAGGCAGGTATCGGCATGGGAGGCTTGGCTGCAACAGTAAACGGGGTGCAGGGCACATGGGGTAGCTCCATCCCCCCCACCCCACCCCTACCTTGATTTTTAGGCATGCACCTCACCTAAGTGCTTGTTTTTGGGATAGGGCTTATATTCGGGGAAACACAATATTAGTTGATCTTGTTGATGAGCCTCACAGTAATGTGAACAATAAATCATACTGGTAATAAATATATTTAGCAAGGAAAAATACAGTGGAATGTAATTAAGTTAGATAAGTCCTCCTTTAATTCAATTTGCTTTGATATGATTTGTATTTTTCAACATGAACTTTGAATATGGAGTTTTCCAGTTATGATTAGTAAAGGCATTTCATGTAACTATTGCTGTCATCCAGGAAGAAATCTCTGTAGTCCTGTTCATATTGAGAAGACTTAACCATCTCAGTGACAGAATGGTGTTCAAGTTAAAATGCAATCTGTTTTTAAATATGTAGTGGTAAACAAATGTGACTTTTTGTATTCATATTTTTTAAAAATATATATTTTTCCCTTATTTTAGTGGTGTAAATATAAAAATACCAATACCTTCCATCGGGCCTGATACTGTGATTGTAAGACCTTTGGGGCATGCAGGTAAAGTAAATGTTTGAAAGTTTTGTTTTATACTGTTTCAACTTGTTCTTATGAACTGCAATCATCAACAGTGTTTCAGTATCGTATGAGAAACTGCTGAAGAGTTATGGAAGAGTTCTATTATTGTATTTAAATTATTGAAAAATATTACTTAACCATTATGTATTTAAGGAGGAGAAATTCTTCATGTTTTCTATCTTGCTTATTCTGCCGAAGCCATAACCCTGTTGAAATGGACAATTGGCATGTCCTGGCATGTATGTGGAATCGCTCACAGACAATTAAAAATATATATTTTCCTTCACAGCAGCCATATAGCAGTTGTGTGAACCCAAGGGAAGATTCCAACAATGCTAACTATGCACCGTTGTGTTGGATATTATATCTGAATCAAATTTATCCCTTTGAATTCAGATCTCTGGACCTTCCCATTAATGTGATAGTGTAGGGCACTATTATAATGCTTTTACTACAAATGGTTGAGAATGTAGTATATTTATAGATAAAATTGTTTGAATGTTAGAAGAGGCTCAGAGTTGTTTTATTATGAATAGGCAGAAAAATAAATAAGTAAATAAATACGGATAAGATTTCAAAAAGTGCATTTTTAAAAATTCTGTTATATCATCTTTAAACATATCAAAGATGGCCAACTGAAAATAATTGAATTGTAATTAGCAATTAGATTAAACATAAATAATGTTGCATTTATCATTTGTTGGGTTTTGGTTTTTTTTTTTTTTTGCTAAAACTGACTCATATTTTAGGTATTTTATGACTTACATTTATGAAGGAAAACATACAGTAAATTCATCTGGCATGTTGCTTTGAAAATGTATATTTAAAATATGTGTCTGTCAACTGGCTATCTGGCTTGCTTGCTTGCTTGCTTATTTGTTTGTTTGTTGCAATCACAAGACTCAGTGGAATTTTCCATATAGATGAACATGTATAATTTTAAGGCATGCCTCTTTATTTCTATTCATTAATTCAAAATTTTCTCCTTCAGAAATGGAAAGTCTAGAAAGATCTCACAGCTCTGATGTATTTCCTTCTGGTTATTATTATCAAGATGAATGGCAACAAAGGACGCAGTTGATTCGACATTTTAATAAGTCATCAGATATTACTGAATGTTTACAGGGAAAACTTATTTACTTGTTTGGAGACTCTACAATCAGACAGTGGTTTGAATATCTGACAGCATTTGTTCCAGGTATATTCAAATTGATTCCCTCTAAAAGAAATTCTCCCATAAATAATTTTGTTATAAGAGCACAGTATTTTACCGGTGTTTATCATTTTGTTACCAATTTTGTTTGGTTGATATGCATGTTATTTTTTTAATTTTGAGAGAAAAATTGAAATGAAATCCCAAACTTGATTTTTTCCAGTATTTTTTTCACTATAAGAATATCCCATTATTAGACTATCTGGCACTACCAACAGAAGTTAGTGATAATAGGAAACCTAAGTCTAAAGCTTTTATACTAAAATGTGGCCTTTTGCTTAATTTCAGAACTCCCTGACAAGAAATTAAAGTCTTGTCAAGAGAGCCCTGCCGTTTTGGGGCAGTTTGCTATGTGTGTGGAGCTAGCAAGAAAGAAGGAAGTTGTAGTTGTGGCCCATCAACCTTTGACCGCTATCATTTAGCATGCGATCCCAAAAGTCTCACCCATGAGAAGAAAAGCTATCCCACATGCTCCAATGAAGAGAGCAGCTGTTCCACTGAATAAAAAGGAAGGGGTCTCCAGTGAAGCTGACAGCAGATATAATAGGTGGATTTACAGTTCTTTGTAAAGAATCTACTACACATCCCAGCTGCCAAAATCCGATGGCTATTAAATGGCTGCAGGAAATAGGACAGTAGACCTTCGAAGGAAATTCTGCTGGTTGACTTCTCTATAGTAGAGCAGAACTGACAGCGAAGGGTAGACTGCTACACTACTGTTCATAAAAAAATGCAGTGCATTTGAAGCAAAGGGGGGCTCAAAGAGAACTCCCTGAATTCAAAGAGAACTCCTTGAATTTGACAAGGGATATAAAGAGAGGGCCAATTCAGATGATTAAGACATTAAAGTTTTTTCTTCCAAAGGAGTATAGTTATTTTGGGGATTATATATTGTTATAGGACAGGAAGACCTGGAGGAACGTTGTCCATGGGGTCGCGATGGGTCGGATACGACTTCGCAATTAACAATAACAATATTGTTATATTTTTTTCATTTCTTTGAAATGGTTAGTTGAATTTGCAAGGTTAAGCCTAGCATTTATTTGTTCTTTGGATGATTTTTCAGAAGGCATAATCCTAAGACTAAATTAGTTTTGTCTTACTAATACTTCTAGGTAGTGATAGAGTTATGGCATACAATGATTTAGTAATTCTTTTTTTTTTAACAGATCTTGTGGAAATAAACCTGGGAAGTCCTAAGAAAGTTGGTCCTCTCATGGCTGTGGACTTAAGGCATAACATCTTACTAAATTTTCGTTGCCATGGCCCTCCCATTCGTTTTTTCACAGTTTTTAGCAGTGAGCTGCATTATATTGCCAATGAATTGAATCGTATTGTTGGTGGGAAGAACACTGTGATAGCCATAACTATTTGGTCTCACCTTAGCACTTTTCCTATAGAAGTATACATCAGGAGATTGAGAAATATTCGCAGGGCAGTTGTTCGGCTATTGGATCGGAGCCCCAAAACTTATATAATTATCAAAACTGCCAATGTTCGAGAACTTGACCCAGAAGTTAGCCTTTTCAACAGTGACTGGTATTCCTATCAGCTTGACACAATAATGAGGAAGATGTTCTCAGGAATTGGGGTGTTCTTTGTGGATGCTTGGGAGATGTCACTGGCTCACCATTTGCCACATAAATTACATCCACAAGATGCTATTGTCAAAAATCAGTTAGATGCTTTCTTGTCTTTTATATGCCCACTGAAAACACATTACAGTTTCTTAACTGATATACATAATCAAATATGGTCTATATTGGTATAATTTAGTATTCTGCACTTGTAAATGAAACATTGCGGATTTATTGTCATAATTTGCATCTCATCTAATCAATTTGCACAATAGCATGCACATTTATATTTTTTGGTGGCAGGGATATTTCTGTATGTGTATTATGTTTCCACACACACACCCCTACCTTTTTATAATGCATGTATTTGTGTATTCAGTTTCTATGCTTCACTTGTACAAAGTATTTTTTTTTTTAACTAGGGCTAAGCACACGTCAGATATTATTGAGAAAAAGTGCTTTGGAACTTAGGTGAACACAGATCCTCTTCCATGTTCATTAAAACAGCCATGTCTGCCATGCCAGAAAAAATAGTGCTAATTAATCACCTCAAGAATAAAAGGGAACAACTTTCTGTTTTTCATATAGGCCTCAGTTTCTTGTCTGATTACTACAGAGGTAAAGCTAGAACAAAAACAAAAAATAACGGGCATTCTCTTAAAGGTTTTGTAAGAATTTTGGTAAGGACCAGATGCAATAAAGGCAGACATTAAAGTTATTTTTTCATCACTGTTGTAACTGTGAATAGTCTCTATGCAAGACAATCGCTAAAGGAGGACTACCTGTATTAAAATCACAACAAAAATTGTGACAAATGATAAAGGCATCCAAAGATTAAGAAACATTGCAATATTTGTCCAATACTTTACCTTTAAAGTTAACTTTAATCCTTTGCATAAGCTGTTACATGCTTCTTTCTTTGAGGGTGGGACTTATTGGCCATTGTTTCTGTGTAAGATTTCATAAGTAGGAACCTTATCAGCCAAAAAGAAGCAATCATATTTGACCCATGCTATATTGTATTGTTCTTGATCCTAATTTTCATACCAAAAAATAAATAATGCTCTCAAAAGTATGGGAATTAATTTTTGTTCCTCATTTTAAATACTTTAAAAATTCCAGATATCCAATTCGTGATTGTTTATTTTCAAGTCAGAGGAGTGCTAAAGATCCTCATAAATCAGACTAAAGCTTTCATATTGCAATGTGAAGGGCAATCCTCAATTTACAACCATTCATTTAGTGAACGTTTGAAGTTACAGTGGCACTGAAAAAAGTGACTTGTGATCATTTTTCACACTTAACGACCGTTGCAGCATCCCCATGGTCATGTGATCAAAATTCGGAGGCTAGGCAACTGGCTCATATTTATGACTTGCAGTATCTGGGGTTCATGTAATCATCTTTTGTGATCTTCTGACAGGTAAAGTCAATACTGAAGCCAAATTCACTTTACAACTCTGTTGCTACCTTAACAACTGCAGTGATTCACTTAAATTCACTTAAATCTAAAATGGGGCAAAACTCACTTAACAACTGTCTCACTTAGCAAGGGAAATTTGGGCTTGTGGTTGTAAATTAAGGACTACTTGTACAAGAACTTCCATGTTTCAATCTGTCACATCCCAAGCAATGGCCTCTTGCTTGTTTCACCATCTAATGGTTCATTTCTCTTGAACTGTCACATGGGAATCAATTTTAACTTTATTATGATATTAAAGCTGGAAACAATTTCCTCAATTTCTTCAAAAGACAGATACTCCAAGGCATAATAATATCTTTATAGGAAGGAGTTCACCTGACATGGGATTATTTTTCAGTTTTCCATACAGGATATATATCATCATTTTAATCATGTGGCATATTAAGAATGAGATAAATTATATTGCTGAGAAAGGATATTTTCTCCTGTCTTATGAAAGCTATTTTGTTGCTTGCCCTTCATCTTCTTAAGTAAAAGGCATTTTTCATAGTAATACTTGAAATTCTGCTTTATCTGCAGTGTTGGAAGATTATAGTAATTCAAAGGCATTTCTCCTACATCAGGTAAAAAACACTCTTCCCCATCTCTCCCACAGGTAACTAGACCAGGTTTGATGGTCCTTCCTGTTTTGGTGACCATGTATGTCTGCATGAAAAATACCCATATTAAAAATAATGGAAGTGACTTTTAAGTGAGTTTGTAGGCTTCCTCATCTGTTGCTACTTTGCAAAATAGAGAGCTCAGTATCAAACTTGAGAATTAAAGGTTTCTAAGCTTATTGTGTTGCATGATAACAGTTTTAAAAATACATTTCTCAGTGGTGAATATCTGCAATGTTTTATAGATATAAGGAAACATTTAATATTTTTCCAGTAATAAAAAAAATTTAACTGAGTTTCTAACCATTGTGATTATTGCTATTAACATGAAGAAGTCTACTTAAATTTCTTGTAAACAATGGATTTTATCAGCCAACACTTGGCTATTTGATGACCTTACAGCAGTCATTAATGGCACATTTGTGTAAAACATTTTATCAATTAAAAATGTATATTATGTTTAATTTATTAAATAAATATTTCATTTTTACTTTACCCTGTCCCATGCTTTCTTCTCTTATTTTTACTTTACCCTGTCCCATGCCATAGATTGCACTGAGATAGCATAGGACACAAATGACAATTGGCCATCATTTTATCATCTATATGAGCAGGCCAATGAAATGGCATATTCTGCATTGTCTGATATTGTACCCACGAAATTATATTACTTTTAATAGTGGATGATATTTTCATCAATTATCTCTTCAGAGCCACACAAATACACACAAATTGGTGTTTTCTTATCAAAATCAATGTACAGGTAATTCCTGAGTTATGAGTGTTCAAAGTTAAATCATGAGCGCCCCCTAGTGCTTTCGAGTAAATGTGAAATTAGGAATATTACAGCATCACAGCAGTCTTTTGCCCTTACGAGCGACTGCAGTGGTTCTGCAACCTTCACCCTGAAATATGCCTCTGGAGCCCGGATCTGGCCATGGGGGGCATGCACAGAAGTGTTCCTCGGTCTCAGATCTGGGTGGCAGCAGCCTGGAAAAGGCCTCTGGAGCTCAAATTGGACCAGGTGGGGTGCAGAAACATTTCCTGTTCTTAGATCTGGGTGGCAGCAGCCTGGAAAACGCCTCTGGATCAGGCTATGGGGGGGGGGCATGGAAGTGTTCCCCGGCCTCAGATCCAGGCTGCAGCAGGAGATGGATCTTTTTCAGGTGAGTCTGGCCCGGCAGGAAGGGAGGGGGAAGCATGAGGTATCTTAGTAGGTCGGGGGGGGGGGCTTGGGGATCTGTTCCATCACTAGCCCTCCATGGCCTTCCCCACCCTGAGATACCTCCTGTTCATTTAACGTGCTGTGCTTTCCTCATGGTCACGTGCATGGAACAGCTTTTGGTTATGGGTTACATAATACTGTTCTGCTGCTATTGCCCTAAGAAAAAAATATTTTGGCCACAATTCTCTTTAATAATTTGTGAGAAAGATCAGGATTCCAGAGACTGAGCAGCTTCCGCATAAATTGGAAAACATCAATATGACAGAGGAGGAGGAGGAATAAGAAAAGGGAACCCTAGTTTATAGTGTCAACTAGCCCTACCTTTTTTGGGTTTGTCAGAGGCCAGCAGTCTCATCTTTTGCAGAGATGAAAATGAAAGTATCAATCGTATAACTTAAAACCCAATTGTATTAAAAATAAGGAAAACCAAAATGTTGACTTTGCATGGACAAATGCCCAAACAATCATAATTCTATGGACTGATTAAAAAATACAGTGTCTAAAACAAGTTTCCCATAAAATAATGCGAGGGGATCAATTGGATATGATCTGAGGTTCAAATAACTTACTGTAGATGCTATAAAACAGTGGTGGCGAATCTATGGCACAGGTGCCAGAGGTGGCACTCGGAGCCCTTTCGGTGGGCACGTATGCCATAGCCCCAGCCCCGCCTCCCCCTGCAGCCCCCTCCTCATCAGCAGCCACACCAGTCATCCCCAGGTGTGGCCCGGGCAGAGCAGTGCAGCCAAACACATGGCAGCTGGGCAGCAGATGATGCTGCGGGGTGTGGGTGGAGGGCGTGGCCACCATGGCGTTGCAGAGCCATGGGCGATCTGCAGTGAGCCGTGGATGGCCCTGAGAGTGGGCAGGGTGAGGGTGGAGCAGGGTGGGGGTGAGCGGGCAGGGTGGGGGCAGTCTGGAGGCAGGGCAGTTTTGGGGCACTTGGTCTCTAAAAGGTTTGCCATCACTGCTATAAAACAAGAATTGAGTTTGTACAAAAGCAATAAAGCTCAAATACAAAGATTGGAGACAAATTCATTGCACAATTAACAGATAATTTCCAAATATCAGAATCCATAAAGGAGGCTAAGAAACCTAAAATCCTGATTTAAGATCCTGACCTTGAACTTTTACTTTATCTCCAAGAGCAGAAATTTTGCAATCACCCCAGTTTTTTCTCCATCTAGCTGTTCTTTACTAATACGTGACTCACACAAATTACAACCTTCTGAAATTTTAAGAGCACTTCCCCTTAGCTCCTTTTGACATCTGGCCTGTGATTGACACCTTCTCTCACTTTCAGCCTAGAGGCACTTTACTCTTCCCGTGAGCCTAAAACAGAGATTCTCTAATTCTTTCCCACCTAAATCAGGCCTTCTTCTGTACTTGAAGATTTTCTTGGCTATGACCTACATCCTCTTTATGTTCAAGTTTGAAAAAAGTTCATCTTCACTTCTGTTCCTGCTAAAGCATTGCTTAACTCTTTGATTTTGAAAGGTGATCTGGCTATTTCCAGTTTTCTCCTTGCTTATATCTTTTCAGCAATTTCTGTTTTCTCTTTTCCAAGTGTTATTCTCCCAACTATTATTGCATATGGTTTTAAAAATGACTGATAGAGAGGTCCATTGTTAAAATGACATATAAATATGCCAAAATATGTATAAATACACATATTCAAAATTCAGCTAGTGTGTAAATATCAAGTAAACATATTTGGAAACTTCACTTTCCCTTTGATTTCCAAGATACAGGTTGTTAGTATCCCAAACATTAATTTATTTTGAAGTTAAACCCAGTTGCTGGAGGTGTTTTCCAGTAAAGATTCATCATAGACTGAAGAGCAAATTAAATACTTTCTCATTTTGTAATCAAGGGTTTGGCCCTGCAAACTTGATCACCTAATCTCATCCTATGCAACACACGAGCATTTGAACAATCATAATTATTTCAAGTGGCATTTATCATATTTCATCATCCTTGTGCTCTATTTTGCTCATGCTTTAGTTCCTAACAGGGCTTTTTTTCTCATAGAACGCCCAGAAAGGAGTTCCGGCACCTTTTTGGATGGAACCTTGTAGGGTAAGCAAGGCGGGTTGTATGATGTGTGTGAGTTCCTTCACCTTTTTTTTTTTAAACAAAAAAAGCACTGGTTCCCCACAAAAATATCATTATCACACCCCATTATAGGGATATGTCAACTTTTTTCAGTCAGGTCCAGTCAAAGTGAATTTTTTATAGTCATACCATTGATTGCTTATATGCCATCAAGTTGCTTTTGAGTCCTAATGACCACAAATATAGATGTTCTCCAAGATCTATCCCTAACTTATTCTTTCAAGTCTCCCAACAATGTACTCATTTGCCACTCAAATCGAACCCATCCAATTTGTTGCTAGTTATCCTCCTCTTATTCATTTTCTTCCGCCTTTCCCAGAATTGGAGCCTTTTCCAGAGAGCTGAGTCTCTGTATAATGTGTCTGAAGTAGATAATTTGACCCTAATTATTTGCCCTTCAAATGAAAACTCTGGTTGATTTGTTTGATGATCCATTGATTTGCTTTTTTGGTTGTCCATGGTGTTCTCAGGGGTCTTCTCCAACAACATAGGCATCAATATCTTTCTGTCTTGCTTCTTTAAAATCCAGTATTTGCTTCTGTAGAGGAAAGTGATGCTTGTTTAAAAAGTGATTTTAATTTTAAAAAAACAGTGACATATAAATATATATTATTATAAAACTAAAATCTGTAAAAAATTGCATATTCATTAACACGTTTCTCTTTTTGATAATTTCTCTTTTTAATATATTACAAAGCCATTATATGATGACTTTAACTAATGATTGTCTTATTTATTTACAGCTTTACTGTTGTACACTGCCCAGATCACTTTCCATAAGACAGGCGAACGTATACATTTGTTTAATAAATGATTTAAAATAAAAAAATAATATTAAAATGATACCAATATGGTATAATAAGCCATAGTAAGATAACATTTTATAATAAAAAACTAAAAAATAAACTATAAGAGTA